CAGGCTCCTCGCGGGGTGGGGCGCGCCTGCCCGATTCAACCAGGGTTCAGCCAGGGGCCAGGGACGGAGCCCCCTCCCAAACCCGCGGCCCTGGCCCCGCGCACCCGCCGAAGGCTGGCTCCTTCACCAGCGTGATGCCGCTCGCGCTCTGCCCCAGCTGCTTTCTTGCTATCCTGGCTGCCTCGGGGCCCAGGGCCGCTTCGATATCTGCCGGGTCCACGTCATCAAACCAGATGTCTTCTCTAAAAGGCAGAGAGGACAGGTTGGAGGAGCTGGTGCAGCGCGGGGGCGGGCCAGCGGGGGGTGGTACGTGGCTCCCGCGGACTGGCCGGCGCACACTGCCGCTTTCCCGTTTCGTTACGAGACCGGCTCCTTATCCCCAACTGAGAACCCCAGATAAACGCAGAAACCTAAGAACGTTTACCTTGTAAACGTACACGCCAGGTGTAACGACTACCGATGCTTGTTTCTAAATGAGAAAGTAGGAGGTTCATCACCAAACATTTAGAAAACACAAGCGCGAGACCATGAAACGGCAGGGGGTTCTATCACTGAACCACCCGTGCCGGCGTGGAATGGAAACACCGACTCCCCATCCGCATTAGGCGGGAGCGACCTCTAGTGTCTTCACATCAAGGCTTGAACGCAGACGCCCGTGCAACTGTGCACATTCCTGCCTGGAGAATTCTGTCTTTCGGGCTCAGCCGAATGTCACTTCCTTAGAAATCTCTTCCTGACCCCACTGAGTGGACGCGCTCCTCTGGCCATCGGCTCCATGAGCTGCTCCGTCCCGGGGTCTACTGTGACCACGCGCACAGATTCCCTAGAAGTGTCTCATTCCGGCTGTGCCTTCTGCCTGACATCAGCCTCAAGCGGGAGGGCCCTGTCATGCCTGGTCCGTTTCCAGAGGGCGTCCCTGGCACAGGGACACACGCAGGCAGTCCAACCCGTCTTTCCTAGGGCCTTCGGCGACCCAGGCGACTCACCACCAGCCTGTCTTACAGACAGGCCACCTCCAGCCGAGCCACTGAGAGGCAGCCACTGGCTCCTGGTCGTCCCTGCGTGACTGACCCCCACTGGGTCTGCTCAGTAACCACCAGGTGCTGACCCAGCGCCCTGCATCTCACACGCTCCCAGTCCCCGCCTGACGCCACAGATGGCCACAGAGGCGGGGGGGTCAGGAGCTCGCCTCTGCGCACCCGACTCGCCAGATGCGTGAACTGCTCTCAGGCTTGGGTCCCTCCGGCTCTGGCGTGCGTTCATCCCACAGACCTTTAGTGGAGGCCTGTTAGTAAGGCCAGCTCTGCTCTAGGCCCTGCAGAACAACAGTTACCGAACACACCCTGCCCGCATTCTGCCCCCGTGGAAACGAGTAACAAGCCAGGAAGCAGCAGGTCAGGCGCTGGAGGGTGTGCGCTGGGGGAGGGCGCCTGCCTAGGCCTCCTGGAGGAGACGGGCCGCAGGTGCTGGGGCTCTGCTCTCGGAGATGAGCCCAGGGGGTCGCCGGCCACACAGGGAGGCAGAGGGGACTGGGTGGGCCACCTGTACTCACTCGGTGGGCAGGGCCGGAGGCAAGGCCAAAGTCACCTCCTTAGCTTTCCGCTTCTTATGCCTGAGGTCTCCTCCTTCTGGAGAAATGTTGCCGTCTGTCCTTTTTCTGGCTCCTTTCTGACCGTGCTCGGCTCCGCTGGCCTGGGTGCGAGGTGCCGGCATCTTCCTGTTCCTTGGAGAATCTGAAGGGACAGGGGCGGCGACGGCCTCGGCGTGTGCGGTCTCCGTCTCCATCTCACGTCTCTGTGCTGCATCTGGGATCGCTCTTCTCTTTTGTGCGACGATCCTGGGCTGCTTTTTGGGCTCCGTCTGAGAGACAAGAGGCTTTTCCGGGGCCTGGGTTTTTTGTTTCAGGAGCTAACAGAACCCAAAATAAAAAACACGACACGTCTTAATTTGGAAATCACGCACAAGATGGAAAACGTGTGTACACACGTGTACGTGCACGTCAGTCACAGCGACGTATGTCTGCTACCCGCAGCCCGCATCGCGGACACTCATTTTCGCACGGTCTAGGAGGAGCCCTTCCTCACGCCCATCTGAAGTCGGTTGTGTTGACATGGCTTCTCCGCGTGTCTGACTGCGACAAGGATTTGATACCTGCTTCCTCGTTCCTATAAAACTTCAAAGCGAGTTTTCGTCTTAAGTACCTCCTGAACCTCTGAGCAGGGACTACTTGACCCAGGGCCCGAGGGCATGATGCGCAACCCATTTTCCTGTCTGCGGTTCATCAAGAGCTACTTCTCCCACAGATGAGGCCCCGGAGCCACAGCGTGGAAACCCCCGTCCTTCACAAGATCTCTCGGTTTGCTACCGCTGTGCGGGTCTCAGACACAGCAGAGGACAGTGTCTGTCACCGTACAGGAGGCTCAAGGGTGGCCAGGGGCCATCCTTCTGTCCTACAAGACTGGCTCTCCTGCGTTCCGCCAGCCCAACCTTCCCCCGCTGCTCCAGTCCCAGCCTGGCTGTTCTCAGCCACAGTGAAGACCCTGGTTATGTGGCCGTGAGCCAAGACACGAGGAACTGGGGTTCGACTTACCAGTTCCCACAACGCTTAAGATTTGGGTAGGGACAGGGTGGCTGGGGGACGGACACTGGGGAGGGTATGTGCTATGGTGAGTGCTGTGAAGTGTGTAAGACTGTGGATTCACAGACCTGTAGCCCTGGGGCTAATAATACATCACAAGCCAGTTTAAAAAAAAAAAAAGAAAAAATATCCATGGTTTAAATGCAAAAAAAAAAAAAAAAAGGATGGAAGGATTTGGTTCCTTGTATGACACAGAGAAAACACACAAGGTTCCCCGCAATAACCACCCTTCCCACGCACTTAATCTTGCTTTACTTTCTTGGGAGAAAGAGGGAGAGTCACAACTCGAGAAACCTACAGAACCGGGGGCTTCCCAACGGAACCGCATCAGTCCTGCCCCTGGAGACAGGCGGTCGGGGCCGCCAGCATCCTAAGACACGGGCTGTGCTGAGAGGCTGCGGCAGCCGTTCCCTGTCCGTCTCGCTCACCCGGAGGCTCGGGAGCAGAGTCCAGAAAACCCGCGCCCGAACGGGACTCTGCCCGGCGCCCGCCACGTTTCCACCGGCCGCGCGCCGCTGGGCCCGGTTCTGAAACCCCGTTTCCTCCCTTGGAACCAGCCAGGACCAAGCAGCGAACTCCGAGGGGCCGCCGAGAATCACAGCGGACCCCCGGGACGGCGGGGCAGAAAGGAGCGTCCGCCGGCGGACTGGCCGCGCGGCACCCCCGGTCCGGAGCGGGGACTGCGGAACGGGGCCGGGTTCCGCCGCGCGGGCCGCACTCCCGGTCACGCCCCTGCCCTTTCCGGGCCCCCCTCGTCCGTCCGCCGGGGACGCTAGCGGGGGCCCCGCAGGCGGTCGGTCGGGGGAAACGGACACGCACGGAGAGGAGGAGACCGGTCCGCACTTCGAGGCCGCGCCCCGGGGCTCGCGGTCTACGTCGGGCGGCCCGTCTGCCTCGGCCCGCGCGGCTCGGCCAGGCCCCGCCGGGTCCCACCCGCCTGCCCGTCCCGCGCGCGGCCCCGCTGCCCTGACCTCCCGCAGCGCCCGCCAGTTTCGGGAAAAGTCCTCCGGCGCCTTCGGAGGCCGCGCCACGACGGCCCTGGGGCCTCCTCCCGGCGTCCTGCCTGCTTCTCGCCCTTTGCTCTTCCGGAAGCTCCTCTTCCTGCTCTTCTTCCGAGGGGGCTTCTGGACAAGCCCCGGCTCGGCCAGGGGGTCGCCCGGGGCGCGCCTGGGGGTCAGCGCCTTGGCCATGCCGCCGCCGCCGTCCGGGGTCCCCGGGGCCCGACGCTAGAGCGCGACCGGAGCCTCGCAGCCCGGGCCCGGAGCCGAGCTCTGTCCAGCGAGCGCAGGCCCAGGCCAGCCCCCAAACCCCGGACTCCGGGGACACCCGCCCCCCGCACCCCGCACCCCGGAAGCGACCCCGCGCGCGCCGCCGCACGTGCGCCCCCCGCCCCCGGAAGTGCTCTTCTCTTCCCGACCCGCTGGAAACCGGGCCTCCGCCCCTGGTTCCGCATAGCCCGGGGCAAGACGGGGCTCTCCACCGTCCCGGGAGAAGGGTCACCGTCCCAGAGAGCGGCATCGGTCTCCATGACCGAGGGTGGGGTTCGGGGAGGCCTAGAATCTTCCGAGAGCGAGGAAGGGGATGAGAAACGAGGGCGCCGGAAGGAAACTGGGGGGCCGCAGTCGTTGTAGCACCGCGGCTGGGCCGGCCGAGCGCAGGGGCGCAGGCGGCCGCTAGGGGACGCTGGGCGGCCGAGCCTGGGGCGGGCGTGGGCGGAGCCGGGGGGCGGAGCGGGCGGGGCAGGGCCACGCCCCCAGCCGGACGGCCGGGCTCCGCCCCTCCTTCCTCCCCGAGTGGGGAAACTGAGGCCCGGGGACGAAAAGTCGACCCCAGCGCAACCGGGCCGCAGAGGCTCTTGAGCCATAGCCGACAGCAACGAGGAAACATTGTAACAATGCTGAGAAGTATTTTGCGCAGCAGCGGTGGGAATAAATCACCAGCCGCTCTCTGCCTGGCCCCTCGGTGCCTCGATTCGCGCCGCGGAGCAGCCTCGGCTTCCCGAAAGTCTCCACGTGGGTCTGCGCGCGCGGGGCGGGGGGCTCCAGGGAGACGGCTCACACACCAGCCAGGGAGTTCGGGTACCGGCAACTGCCGGGCAGCGGGTAACAGAGATGCCAGGAAGAGGTTGACCCCGGGCGTGGGGAGGGGGTGCGGTTACCAGACCGCCCGCAGGATGCCCGGGGACCTGGGCATTGCAGGTGAGTAATAATTTTTGTCTACTTGTGCCCGACGCGTTAGTTGCAATATTGGGGGCATACTTAGACTAAAACAAGAAGTATTCGTTGTTTATGGAAAACAGAAATTTAAGGAAAATTCCTGATTTTTATCCTCTGAGAGTGGCCACCCGGGGGGGGGGCGGGGCCACTTAGATCGGGTCACAAGGGAGGGCCTCTTTGAGCAGGTGACATGTGAGCAGAAACCTGACGGGGAACCAGGGCTCAGAGGGAAGACCCGCAAAGCCCTTGATGCCTCTGAGCACGGGGAAGCCAGCCGGGGCGGCTCAGGCTCCGTGCGTCAAGGGGAGACAGGAGCAGCAGGGCAGTCTCACCTGCGATTCCAGAGTCTCGGAGGCTGCCGGAAAGGGTTTGGACATTTTACTCTTAGGGCAGGGGAAGCCATCGGTTGCTTTAAAGCTGGGGGGTGACGCAGTCTGACTTGAGTTCTTAAAGGATCACTGCCACTGTGTGAGAAATGGGACGGGGAGGGCGCGCGGGCACGAGAGAGCGGGGAGGCCAGGTGGGAGCCCATGACCGATGCCCAGGCCCGCGATGATGAGCTTGGATTGGGGGCAGTGTGTCCTTCTGGGTTTCCAGGGAGCAGTCACAGAGACAGTCAGGAGCCCGAAGCCTGAACTGGGATGACGTTCGGGGAAAGGTAAAAGGGGAAACGCGGGATGGGCCGGGAGAGCCTAAGGCAATCCCGCAGATCTGGCCTGGGAAAGGAAAGCCAACCGGCCCAGGATGGAATCCTCGAAGGCCCCGGGATAACAGAGGACACCAGGGCAGGGACCCTGCACTGTCCCCCGCTAGCTGTCAGCTGAGTCTGAGTCGGGGGGTGGTGTTCTGGAACTGTGAGGGAGCTGGAAATAGTGCTTTGGAGAGCATGACTGAGAACCTTCCAGAAAGTAGAGTGGGTTGCCAGGTGGTCTGTGATGCTGAGGGCAGCGTGGTGCCCCGTGGCCTGGTTCTGTGACTGTCCACGGGGGCCAGACACAGGAGAGTGAGTAGTGAGGGGGAGTGACTGAGGCAGAAAGTGTCTTTGAGACGTGAGGGTAGTGGGGGGCCCGGGATCTGCACTGGGTGAGGAAGGATGGAATGAAACAGGGTCACTTATATGTCAAGGGATCTCAGAATGGAGCCAGGAGTCCATTAAGGAGACCGGCCATATGCCTGTCCTCACCGGTGGACACGTGACCTCTTGAACTGGGCCAAAGTGCAAATATTCCAGGGACCAACCCTGACCCTTCAAGCCCCCCACAGTGAGAGACCAGCAGTGACAGCTTCAGTGCAGATTATGTCATGCGGTTCCCTTTCTGCTGCCGACACGCATCACAAGTTGTCTGTAAGCAACACACCCAAGCGGCCTATCTTAGCTGTGAATGCTTCTGAGATTTGCTCCCTAGTGGGGCCTTATTTGGGTCGTGGCCCAAATCTCGGTGCCCTGGATAGCGATTCTTCAATCCCAGATAAGTGAGCTTGTGTAGTGATCGCCTCCTGACGATTTTAGCTAGACACAGGGAATGGGGAGCGGAGAGCAGGACAGGTCACGGGGTGTCAGTTGAGGAGAGCAAGTTGTCGGAACTGGAAGGCGCAGCCTGCCTTCAGTCAGGGGACAGTAACCTAGCCTCGGTTCTAGAATCACGCCTGAATCCACATTCCCATGATCCCCGGTCCAGTGCTACTTCCTCGTGACTCTGCTGCTTGGCCCAGCCCCATCCCAGGGTGTAGGATCCGCTGCCCTGGGCCCAGGACTCACCTCGTGCGAGAGTCTGCGGGCTGCCCACTCCCATGGCCCCTGCCCCGAGAGGAAGCTCCCAAGAGTAAACACAGCCTCATCTTCCCGCCCACCCGGGTCTACCACATTCCACACCGGCCAGATGTCCAGTCACAAGGCTCTCTCCCGGGGCTACAGGCTGGTTTTCCCGAGGATGAGGGAGCCTCACCCCTGGCACAGAGGCTTGGGGACAATTCTCACTTCTGCCCTCTTTCTCCTGGGCTGCTGGGGACTCTCCGATTTCCAGCAGGTAGGTGAGTCTGCAGACGTCGAGGTATTTCGGGAGCCCTGGGGCCGGGAATCTGAGCTCCTCTGGGTGCTGAAGGAGGGAGCCCTGGGGAGAGAGGGAACTGCCTGGGGTCTTCTCTCAGCTTTGGGGCTTGCACTGGGCAAGGGGCAGATCTGAGCATGGGGTTTGGGGGATAGAGTGTGCTCACTGGGGAAGGAATGGGCTTCTCCATTCTGTGTCCTTGCCTTGCTCCTCTGCCACCCCGTCTCCTTCCTCTCTTCTCCCTTGTCCTTTCTGTCTTGCAGCAATTTCTTCAGGCTTTGGAGCCAGAGGAAGTGACTTCTTATTTCGGTCCTGAAGCTACTTTAAAAGGTACTTTTGTGGGATCTTCTTGGCAGGGGGGTTCTCAGGGTCAGGGCTCTGCTGGAGGGGGGAAGTCCAAGAATCTACCATCATTCCTGTTAATCAACTCCGGACTTCTGCCAAGTCCGTGAAAGCCGGTCTGGGTGTTCTGGACCAAGCTGGGGTTCTGACCCCAGGCTTCTGCTCAGTATCTCAAGGAAACAGTTACTGATTAGCTGGCCCCTTTTGCCCCGGGGCCTCCCTTGGGCTAGGGAAGCCACAGGAGCTCTTGTGGTTTCTGATCATGGATGGAAATATTTATCCTTTCTGTGAGAAACAAGATAGGCCCTGGCTCAGGCCCAGCCAGAGCCTTCCTGTCGCTCTGGGCCCTGTCTGTGGACCTCTGTGCGGTGCCAGGCCCCTTTCCGAGTTGGGCCATTGATCTAAAGGCTGCTGGGGACCAGAGGCAGGGTGGGCTAGTCAGAGTGGAAAGAAATAAGGGATGTCCCTCTTGTGCCCAAATTGTCTGTGGCCTGGGTCAGATGCACACAGAGCCCTGCTTGGGGCCACTTCCGGGTGGAAACTTGTGAATCGGGACCCCAGGTCCTTGGAGCTCTTCCCCTCCTGGGGCCTGGGGTCCTTAACTCCTCTGGGGGCTCCTTAGGGGGGAGGCAGGTGGGTGGAGAAGGATGGCAAGGCTGGTCTCGGGTGCCTGCTTTTCCTAGAGGCTGGACTTGTACCTGCTCTGCCCATTGGGGTTCATGCCACCCCTCGTGAAACCCCTCATGGGTCGAGGCTAGTGTGCTGAGCGCTGGTCTGCCCCGGAGCAAGGCCCAGATGGGAGAGGCGACTTGCACTCTGCCCTCCTACAAGCCAGAAGGAGCTGAATTTGAACCCAGGATGGGGCTTCCTCTCCAGGGCAGGAAGAGGAGGGCCGAGCAGGGTTGAGCAAGGCAGCCTCCTCTCCCTTGCAGTGCCTCCGTTCCATGTGGCCCCTCTCAGCTGCATCTGTGAAGACGGGCCCCGGGGGCCTCCCTGCAGGACCCCGCGCTGCTCCCTGCACGCCTGGGGCCGGCGCATCACCGTCTCCTTCCCGCCGGAGCGGAGCCTCCTGTCCGCGTCCTTCACCAGCGAGCACGTGCTGAACGCCTCCCTCCGCCTACTGAGGCGGCCGGCCCACCTCTGCTTCACGGGAGGCCGCCCCCTGCTGCCTCCGGGCGCCCGGGCTAGAGTCACTTACTGCTCCGGCGGCTTGGTGAGTGGGAGCCCGGCTTCGCCTCGGGGAGAGGCCGCGCTGAGGGTGTGCTGGCTCGGGGGGACCCCACGGTGCCCAGCCAGGTGTGCCGGAGGACACCGCGTTGGATCTTTGCCTCGCGCCAGGCCTCCGAGGGCGTGTTCCAGGGAGGCTCGGAAAAGCGGGCTGAGTTCCCAAGGCCGCCAGGCTAGCCGGTGGCAGAGCGAGGCGTGAACCTGGGGGACCATGGAACAGAAAGAACCAGGGCTTGGCAGTCAGCCCTTTGAGTTCTGATTCCAGCTCTGTCCCAGGAGACCTTGGACCAGTCACTGGACTGGATCTTAGGGTCTTCAGCTGAGAAGTGATGAGGACTGGTGTCAGGTGTCCGTGTAAATCTGTCACCATGCATCCATCTGGCCAAAGCCGCTTATGTCATCACGTGCCCCTCCCTGGTTGCTGCGTTGCGCGGCCCAGCGTGGGCCGGGACATAAACCATTCCTGGTCAGCCTGTGACTACTGGTGACTGCTGTGCTGTCTGTTAGCACAGGCCTAGCTAGTCCCTGGAGACCCTTCCTGTTTCTGTACATGTGGAATCCCACCAATGTCTCTCCAAAGGCCAAGGCCACGACCTGAGGGAGGACTGGAGTGTGGGTGGGGGTGGGTGCTGGCTGCAGGTGTAGAAGTGGGCACAGCCCTAAAAGGGCACGGGTCCTCCCCAGCTGTCCCACAAGGATGGGCTTGGGGGCACTGGACTTGGAGAGGAGCCCTGGACAGAGCTCAGGACAGGTTTGTGCCTGGTGCTGTGACGTCCCAGAGAGGCCCTGTCATGCAGTGGGGCCACTGGGCTCAGTGCCATGCTGTTCTCTCTTCTCTAGGAGGGCGACATCCTGGTGGGTGCGGACAGGTTCTATGTCCAGCCAGTGAGGAAGCAGCACCAGGAGCTGGTGCCTCCCTGGGTTCGTGCCCAGCCCCACCTGATCCATAGGCCTGTCCCCAAGGTCCCCACAGTCCCCGAGGCCCCAGAAGTCATCCAAGGTACAGCCCCTGGGAGAGGGAGGGTGGGACTTCCCTTGGGGACAGCTCTGGGGGGAGAGCCAGCTCTCCCCAATGCCCAGGGAGCCATGCAAAATGCCACAGCCGTGACTGAACCATCTTCATCAGGATGTTGGGGCGCAGGGAGGGCAGGGGAGCACATGGCCGGCCATCAGCCGTGCCCCCAACTGTCTTCTTGGTGAACAGGTAGACACTGAGCCTACAAACAGCCCTTCCTATCTTACACAGCACGCTCACAGATGCGCGCTGTTGGCAGGACGCCACTCACTGGTATTGGTTGCTCGCACGGACGGGAACGCGGGGGCCCAAAGACAGAGAGTGGCCGCTCAGGGCTGACACGGTGCCTCTGGGCATGATCACAATTGGAGAGGGCCCTGCTGCCTCCCAGGTCTGCTTGTCCAGCCCTTGGGCTGCCTCCGGGTGCAGGCAGGGCGCTGTCTTGGGCAAGCCTTGTCACCTTGGAATGAGCCTGTTCTGTTCTCCAGCAGGTGCCCAGAGGGGCATCAAGGATGCAGAGCCAGTGCCCAGGGCTTTGGAGAGATGTAAAGGACCAAAAGGCCACACAGTAGCTCCCTCCTTGGGCCCTGCACTGCCACTGGGCCCTTTCAGATGCTCCGGGATGCCTGGTCACTATGGGATCTGGCCCTCGGGGTGGGGCGGGATCCAAGACCCAGCAGCCTCTCGGGCTAGCCACCACTAGTTCTAACAGTTGCTGCAGAAAGTGACCTGCGACAGTTTGGGACCCTCAATCCTCCTGAGGAGTCAGGAGACCCACTCCCGGAGGTAGGGGCTGAGAGTGGGCCCAACCCAGGCCCCCTCCCCGGGTGTCCACCCAGCTGGGAGGCAGGGATCGCCTGCCCCCCACGTTCCCCATGTGAAAGCTGAGGACCCCTGTCTCCCTAAGCTCTGTAGCGGGAAGTAGTAGGGACCGGGCTCACACGGTGTCTCCGAGCCTAGGAAAGACCTGGGCATGGGGGTCCAAAGCCACGAGTCGTCTTCTTTCTAGGACCTTCGCTGTCAGCCCCGCTTCCTCCCTCAACGGGCCGTCCTCCTTCCCCTCGCGTCCGGAGACGGGCTGCGGGGAGTGTCCTGCACTTGGAGCTGCTGGTGGCCGTGGGCCCCGATGTCTATCAGGCTCACCAGGAGGACACCGAGCGCTACGTGCTCACTAACCTCAACATGGTGAGTGTTCCTTGTGCAGCGCCTTGGATGGCGCCGACCCCAACGCATGGGACTCGGGAGCCTCTGGACACGGCGCCCCATGCCAGGAACTTGGGTGGAATGTGATTGGCTGGCTTGCCTGGGAGTTTGAACTCAGGTTGAACTCAGTGTAACCCTAAGGCTGGGGTCATGCTTGCGGCCCAGGACTTTGGGGGTGGGAAGGGGTGCGGCCTGCACTTTGCTTCCTCCTCCCCTCCCTCACCTGGAGTGGAGGTGGGCGAGGGCCCAGGACCCCCTCTTGGGTCCCTAGTACACCCCACAGCTTCTTGCTACTTGGATCCCTTCTCTCCAGGGGACTCTCAAATTTGGCCTCTGTCCTGAAGCCCATTTGCTCCGTGGGAACCTCAGGCAGCAGTGCCGGCCCTCTTCTTGTGGGCACCCCATTGCTGCTGGCCTCCCCTTCACTTGCTTTAGGGGTGAAGTTGGGGTGGAGAGTACGACTCCCACTGAGTGGTGTCAGAGAGACCGAGTCAGGAAAGGAACGTGAGACCCGTGCCCGCAGCTGGAGAGCACTTGCGGGACACACACATGCGCGGGACACACGCGTGCACACACACACAGTGACTACTCTAGGCTGCCGCGGAAGCTTCCGCAGCGTCAGGAGATCAGGACCAACACGGCAAGGAGAGTGCCGGCCCTGGGGGGTGGGCTGCCCCTACAAATGTGCCCTGCCTCGGGGACGGCCACCTGCTTTGGGCAAAAGGCAAAGTCCCCCAGGCTGACGGCCATGGAAGGCTTTCCCTCCACTTGACAGATATGGAACCTGGGCTTCTGGGCTCCCTTAGCAGCATCTGAGCAGCGTGGGAAGGGAAGCCGTGGAGCTCGGATTCTGGCCCAGGCCAGCCGAGGCCCGTGGCCGCACAGTGCTCTCACGGGGCCGTGTGTCATTCAGAGGACGAGGGGGCGCCAACAGCCACATGACAAGTCAGCCGCGATCGGCATCTTGACACATGTGGCGAGAGAGAGCCAGGAGGCTGGCTGGGGCGTGGGGAGGGGGCTTCTCTCTGGGGTACCCAGGAAAGGGCTTGTGGAGGGAGGGGGGCCCTCGCGCCGCCTCATGGAGACGTGCAGGTTAGACAAGCAGAGAACAGTTTCAGGTGGATGGACAGAAAAGAGAAAGGACAGGACGAATCTGGTGAGAGAGAGGCAGGGTTGGAATGGAATGTTCTGGACTAATAACAATTATCTGTGTCCCACTGTTTCAGGGTTCTGTGTGTGTGTGTGTGTGTGTGTGTGTGTGTTGAGCCTGAGCAAGGGGAGGACAGGAGTGCATCTGCCCTTCCCCGCAGTCGGCTCTCCGCCCGACAACTGGCATCTTCCCCTGTGCCGATGGAACGTCTTCTCTGGACTCCAGCACGCCAGTCGGGCCACACCAGCCCACATGAGTCTCCCCTCTCTCCTGCCCCCCACAGGGGTCAGAGCTGCTGAGGGACCCATCTCTGGGGGCTCAGTTCCGAGTACATCTAGTGAAGATGGTCATCCTGACCCAGCCCGAGGTAGGCGCCGAGCTGGGAGCCCGGAGTAACCGGAAAACCCATTTCTGTTCTCTTTACCTCTTCCTGTGGGTCTCCGCCTCATAACAGGGCTGCGGTGAGGACTGAGATGCCAGCGGCCCCCGTTGGGCGCCGCTTCCATAAATGCAGCCTGTCTTATTGGATCCCCCAGGATGCGCCAAGCATCACGGGCAACATCACAGCGTCACTGCTGAGTGTCTGTGAGTGGAGCAGGACGGTCAACCCCGAGGACGACGCAGATCCCGGGCACGCCGACCTGGTTCTCTACATCACCAGGTAGCCGCGTTCCCCGGGGGCACCCCAGCCCACCCGGGAGCTGCCCCCCTCTGCAAAGGCGGTCTGGCAGGCATGTCTGCACCACGCAGATGGCGGTCCTCTCTTCCCAAGGTTTGACCTGGAGTTACCAGATGGTAACCGGCAGGTTCGAGGGGTCACCCAGCTGGGGGGTGCTTGCTCGTCCTCCTGGAGCTGCCTCATCACTGAGGATACTGGCTTTGACCTGGGGGTCACCATCGCCCATGAGATCGCACACAGGTAGGCACCCTATCCCCAAGCTGAGGCCTAGGAGCTGACCTGGGCTCCCAGGAGGTCACGTCGGGGCTGGCAGAGTCTGTTGGAAGGAACCTATACCCTTGGCCCCAGTGGACTCGGGAGGTGGGGGAGGGACAAGGGCTGGGAAATCTGATACTGCTTGATTTCCAGATGATTAAAAAACCCTTTTTTCCCCAAAAAACAAGCAAGATGAACTTAACAATTAGAAAATACGTTTCTTAGGAAATTCAGGTAAAGAGAAAGCAGACGGTCAAAATTATCCCAGATCCTACCACCCAGAGAGAACGTCTGTTCACATTTTGTTTTAGTCATTTCTTACCCACACACATAATTTTTTATTTGCAAAATTGGGATTATATTGTATATTGTCTCATTACTATTTTCTTAATGGAGCAATACATCCTGAACATTTTCCCCAGAGTTTTTATAATTCTTTTGGTGCGCATTATTTAACTAATCCCACGCTGTTGGATTTTAGGCTGTTTCCAGATTTTTCCTGTTATGGGCGCTCTGCGTTCTGTAGGCATATCTGTGCTCCCGTCTATCGTCACTTACCCGAAGTGGCGAGTTTTCTCGATGATCTTTAAGTCTTTTCATTATGAAAGTCGTGCCCGCGTACAGCACAGAGACTCCTGAAGTAAAAACCTGGGTCTGTGCTCCTTCCCCTGGGTACCCACCGGCCCAGGCCTTCCGGCTCCTCTGAGCTCTGTGCGGGCCCCCCCACCCCTGCCTCTGTGGGCGGCTCAGGAGCCCGGTGAGCCTGGGCTCCTCACCCCTACATCAGCCCCCAGCAGTTCCATCTTCACCCTGGTTCCAGCCCCTGCACTTGACCCTCGACCCCCACCCACCCACCCCGCCTCCACAGGGCCTCCATCTGTCTTGTTTTGGAGGAAAAAGTTGTTTTGTTTGTTTTAAAGAAGGTTTTGAAAGCCAGTGTCCATTCCCCTGGGAGTGGAGACGGTGGCCGGAGTCCTGGGCGTTTTCTCGACTTCTTTACTAATCTAAGGACAGAGGTAGTGGATGGATTTTCCCACTCTGGGCCAGCCCACAGATCAGGAAAGTTACCACGGGCAGCCCCCCCGCCCCAGCGAGGTGCCTCACGACCCCGTCCTCCCTGACTTTTTAACACCACCGAGTGGCTTTCCTCAACATTTTAAAAGCCTTTTGATGTTTATTAGCAGAAAGAGGCAGGAGGCTCTGGCTAATAATCCGTGCTCTCTCGGCTGGGAAACTGAGGCAGGGCTCTCTGGCGGCAGGGTCAGGAGGCCGCTGGGGTCTGAAACCGCGCAGCTGGAGGGTCTGCCAGGCCTGGACTGCAGGGGTGGGCGGAGTGGGCGGGCGAGGGGACCCTCAGCGGTGGCCTCCGCTGCACAGCTTGGGCGTGGAGCACGACGGTGCGCCCGGCAGTGGCTGCGGGCCCAGTGGCCACGTGATGGCCTCCCAGGACGCCGTGCCCGCCCGTGGTGATCTGTCCTGGTCCGCCTGCAGCCACCGGCAAGTGCTGCAGCTGCTCAGGTAGCTGCGTTGGTCACCCCGCCCTGTCCTCCCCGTGCCCCCATCTCCACGCGGGGCGCACCCCCACTTGTCCCCCAGACCCACACCTCCCTCTGCCCCAGCCCTGCCCAGCCCTCTGTTTACTCCCATCCCGTCCTGTGCCTCCCTCCGCATGGGCCCCCATCACCTCCCCGGCGCTCTCCTCCATCCTCCACCACACCCCTGTACCCACCCTTCTACCTACCCCCTCCACCGTGTGCCCCACCCTCTGTCCACACCTCCTGGTGCCCGCTCCCTCCTTCCCGCCCGCTCCTTCTCTTCCGTCCCACTCGCTTCTGCGTTCACCCCATAATTCTGCCCCATCCATGCCCATCCCCCCAGCCACCCTGCCTTTGCCTCCACCCTCCATCCCACCCACTCTGCCATGCAACCCTCGTCTGCTGCATCCCCCTTCTCAGCGCTGCATCGGGCCCCCAGCTCTGGATCTGAGCTGCCTCCGAGCCCAGGGCCTGCTCATGGTGTGGGTTCGTGCTGAGAACTCCGGTCCTCCCCGTCTCGTGCCCTCTCCCCCTTCCCGCCCCCACCCCCCACCCCGTGTCCACCTGCAGCCTGAGCCCAGGCCTTGTCGCAGCGCAGGACGGGCGCACTGCCTGTTGGATCTGCCGGGGCCGCAGGCCGGGACCGCGGGGCGCCCCCCACAGGCACAGCCGGGCCTCCTCTATGGCGCAGACGAGCAGTGCCGTGTGGCCTTTGGTGCTAAGGCAGTGGCCTGCACCTTCGCCAGGGAGCACCTCGTGAGTTGTCGTCCCCCCGCCCCGACCCTGGTCTGCTATCCAGCCCAAGCTCCCTCCACCTGTGTCCAGCTCATGCCCCTGAGAGTGCCTGCTGGGCCAGGCTGGGTCACTTGTTAAAATTCTCAATTTTTTTAAGAAGAGTCCCCATGTTTGCTCCCCATTTTGACACATTTATTCCACAAATTATGTAGAGTGGGCCCTAGCAGGCTCCTGACTCTGTGCCCAGGGAACTTCAATAGGCAGTCACTAAAGGCTTCCAACTCAATGGGAACCTGGAGGGCTTCCTGGAGGAAGTGACCTCCAAACCAAAGCCTGTAGCAGCCGTGTAAGCTGGCAGGGGGAGGGGAGATGAAGGGATGAAGGGGGCAGGTGCCCCAAACGCAGACTTCCTCCCTGGGCTGACAGGACTTTCATGGCCCCAGACACCTTTGCCTTCATGGCCCCTTTCTCCACATGAAATATTAAGACTTATTATCAGTGTTTTAAATATTGCACGAGTATTGTAAATATAGTTATATTAATATTACGTATTAGAACATCTTTGATCTCAAAGATCATCTTTTTCTTTTGATTTTGAAAGAAATGAAATCGTATTTGTGGGCCCCTAAAATGGGCCCTGGTCAGCGTCCCTGTCCCATGGAGAGGTGTGCTGTGCCCTCTCTCCCTCGCCACTAGTGCCCATGGAACAGTGTATGTGTCTGTGGGTCCTGTGGTGTGGGGGTACAATTAAGACTGGATGCTGAGCCAACGGGCTGTGGTGGCCCCGAACCGGGCACTTGTCTCCCCTCTTAGGACATGTGCCAGGCTCTGTCCTGCCACACGGACCCCCTGGACCAAAGCAGCTGTAGCCGCCTCCTCGTTCCTCTCCTGGATGGGACAGAGTGCGGCACGCAGAAGGTCAGAGCAGGAACGAAGGGATGTTCGAGTGCGTGTGCGCGTGTGTGTGTGCCCATGTGTGTGCCCATGTGTGTGTGCCCTTGCCCGCATCCATGCGGGGCCCCGAAGCCTGGCTGCCTGATTTCCTGGGGTGGGGGACAAGAGGATCGGTTAGCTGGGGCAGAGGGCCCTGGAGCTGCTCTTGGCCACCTGGTGGGGAGAGCTAGGCCTCAAGATGCTTCCCGTGTCCCCGTGACCTGCCCAGCCTCTCCGCAGGGCCTGGAAGATGGGACGGGTTTTCTAGGTTTGCAGCACCACTGAAGACCGACAAAGGGCTTGCCAGCGACTCTGCCAGAGCCCCGCCCTCCCCGCACCAGTACTGACTTTCTTTTCCCCCTTCCCTGGGTCTGGGGACAGGCTTGTGTTGTCCCCCCGCCCCACAGAGGAGACAAAGGCTCTGAGTGGCCGTGATAGCGTGGTTCAGCTCCCTGACCCAGGCTGCCTCTCGTTGGCTGTACCAGGCAGTGTCTTCCTCTCCCCTGCAGACCTCAGGGCCTCTGTCCTTCCTCTCCACCCAGCGTGGCCAGACTCTTCCTGTCCTATAGCCTGGGGTTTGCCCTCTTCCGTTTAGCATTGTTTCCTGAGCAGGCTGGGGGTGCGGGGGTTCCTGCATGCACACGCACACACCTGTGTGGGTGTGGGTGTCCTGTGTGGGAGATGTCCTGTGGCTATGGGGTGAGCGTGGCTGTGGGGTGCATGTGCATGGTATGGGGTGCCCTGGATGTGGGATGGCGTGTCCTTCTCTTGCAGTGGTGCTCCAAGGGTCACTGCCGCTCCCTGGCGGAGCTGAGCCCCGTGGGGGTGGTGCACGGGCACTGGTCTAGCTGGGGTCCCCCCAGCCCTTGCTCTCGCTCCTGCGGAGGAGGTGTGGTCACCCGGAGGAGGCACTGCAACAACCCCAGGTACCACAGGGAGGGGGCCCTGCCCTTCAGGTCAGGGAGGGGGCTGCTCCATGTTCCCCGGTTTGGGGGGCGGGGGGAGTCACCCGTCACCTCTTGTGTCTTATGGACATTTTCAGGCCTGCCTTTGGAGGGCGTGCGTGTGTGGGTGCTGACCTCCAGGCTGAGACGTGCAACACCCAGGTACGCCTGCTTCCCCCAGGCAGGACGAGAGGCTCAGGGCAGTGGTGCCGGGCCCCGGGGAGCCGAAGGATTGGGGCGGCTGTGATTTGTGGCTCACGCCAGGGCGCTTTGGAGAGTGGGGTGCTGCTGTGTCTCTGCTGGGACCCCAGTGGATCCTCCAGGTGTCACACCTCTGTCCCCACATGCCACCGCCCTCCCTGGTGGCACCCCCTGCCTAAAAGCATCCTTTTAGTCCAAGCACAGGTGAAATTCACATCATATCAAATCACCCATTTTGAAGTGTGGAACCCAGTAGCCTTGGTCCATTCGCAGTGTGGCTCCAAAACATCTCCACCACCCCACGGAAAACCCCAGACCCATGAAGCAGCCACTCCCCTTCCCCAGCCTCCAGCCGCTGGCAACCACCGGTCGCTTTCTGTTTCCGTGGATTTGCCTGCACTGGGGCGCTTCATGGAAGTGGAGTCCCACGGTAGGCGGGCTTTCGTGACTGGCTTCTCTCAGCATCACGTCCTCAGGGGTCTTCCTGTGCGGCAGGTGTGGGCAGCGCACTCCTTTTTGTGGCTGAATAACATCCATGGTGCAGACGGCCGTGTGTTATCTGTGCGTCCGTCCGTAGGCATCGGGGCCGTTTTCACCTCTTGGTTGTCGAGAATCGTATCCCTGGGAATGGGTCTGTCCGTGGACTTTGGTGCCAGTTTTTATTTCTTTTGGGCAGACTCCTAAGAGAGAGGTCCCTGGGTCATAAAGCATTTCTACGTCCAGTTCTTTCTTTGAGGAACCCGGGCCATCCCGCCCAGCAGGGAAGCTACTCTGCTTCCCCACAGCAGGGTGCAAGGGTTCTGGTTTCCCCAAGTCCTCCCCCTTCTCTACATCCTCGCTGTCCCTGGTTTTGATCGTGGACATCAGACTGGGTGGCTCCTTGGACCTTGAGCTAAGATCCGCACCCAGTGAGACCTTCCCTCCCGCCTTCTGCAGGCAGACTCGGGGCCTCCCCAGCCTGGGAGGGCGCAGTCTTCCCCTGGAGCACAGGCTCGGGGGAAGGGAGCCAGCGAGCAGCACTCTTTACCTCTGTGTCCTGTCCTTTGTCCTGGCAAATTCTCTCGGATTCTTGCATCAGCAGAGAAAGGCTTGTCTCCCTCACTTTACAGAGCAGGGACCCAAGGAGCAGCCAGGAGCTGGGCTTAAGCCCACATAGTGACCCGTGCACTGCATGGTGCCTTGTGGTGCCCAGTGGCAAAGGCCACTGTCCTAGGTGTCCTGCCCCAAGCCCCCATCCCGGGGCCCCTCCTGTGCCTGTCCTCTGCCTCCTCCCGGCCAGGCCTGTGAGAAGACCCAGCTGGAGTTCATGGCCGAGCAGTGCTCCCAGACAGACAGGAAACCGCTGCACCTGTCCCCAGGCAATGCCTCCTTCTACCGCTGGGGCCCCGCTGAGCAGTACAGTCAAGGTGGGACTGGCCCGTCACCCCGACGCCGTGGAGGGCTGGGCACCGGCTTCGGCTCCGCATCAGTTGAATCACGTCCTGGCACCATCCCTTGCTAACAGGCCTGGGGCTCAGCTCTCCCATCTGTAACACGGAGATGGGAGCAGGGCCCCCTGCTCGGGCAAGAGGATTCAGTGCGATGGAACTGGGGCTGTGCCGAGGGCACTCCTCGGCTTGTAACTCCGTGACGCCGCTCCGCCCTGATTGCGGTCGCTGCCTCAGGAGACGGGACCCTTGCCCCCAACCCGCAGGAGGAAGCGGGGGTGGGGGTGGTGGCTGGTGGGGTGGGCCCACCTGGGTTGTGCTCTGCGGTCTGCCGAGTTGCCTTCCCTACACCAAGGGTCCTTGTCCCTCTGCCTCCCCAGGGGACGCTCTGTGCAGACACATGTGCCGGGCCATTGGCGAGACCTTCATTGTGAGGCGTGGGGACAGTTTCCTGGATGGGACCCGGTGTGTGCCAAGTGGTCAGCGGGAGGACGGGACCCTGAGCCTGTGCGTGTCGGGCAGCTGCAGGGTAGGTGTGTGCGGGCAGCAGGGTGCCCTCCCAGCCACGGTGGCCCTGGGGCCAGTCCCATGGGAAGTCAGATGCTCAAGGGCTTCGGGGGTGGGGTGAGGGGGAGTCTGCGGGTGCTGGCCGCCGTGAAGCTGTGGCGGAGTCTGCACGGCTGCTCCCAGGGTGCTGGGGTGACCTTGGAGTCAGCTGGCGGTTTGGAGCCCTGCTGTGACCGCAGGCGAGTCATTTACACCTGCTTCCCGTGTCGCCCTCGGAAGCTGCGAGTGCCGCCCGTCAGAGCCTCAGCACCCTCCATTGACACCCGCCCCGTGTCACCGCCACTGCTCTTTCCACAGACATTCGGCTGTGACGGCAGGATGGACTCCCCGCAGGTGCGAGACGTGTGTCAGGTGTGCGGAGGGGACAACAGCACGTGCCAGCCGCGGAACGGCTCTTTCACGGGCGGAAGGGCCAGAGGTAGGGGCTCCCCTCGGGATGGATGGCCACGCTCCTCCCCACCTCTAAGAATCCCCTGCAGCTCAGAGCCCTGGCAGCGAGCCCAGGACCCTCTGCGTGGGCCTCCGCCTCCTCTTCGCCAGCCTCCCCGAGCAGCTGAGCGTTGACTGAGGCCGCCACGGGCAGTGGCACTTCAGGGTAGCTGTGATAAGACCCAGACAGGGGACAGTGAGGAGTGGCCTGGCCTCTCTCCTCCCCGAGGAATCCTGTCCGAAGGGATGTTATACTTGGGAAGCCTGCGACTCGGGTAGATTTCTGAAAAAGGTCAAGTCGTTCGCAGAGTAGGCGCTTGGAGGGTCAGCGGAGCCGTGGAGGCCCCTTCCCCGTGGTGGGCCACATGCTGAGCCTGGAACCTGGGATTCGGTCCCTCCGCCTGGGCCGGGCAGCCCCCTGGAAGGTGACCAACCGGCCTGGCTTGGATTGGCCCCCGTGAAGGGGACCCTCTACTGCCTGAGGCAACCCCATTGTTAGCTTTTGGCCTCAAGCTGCCTCCCCCCCACCGGGGACATCTGAAATCTCCCTTTCACTCCAACATCAGTGACCTGAGACCCTCCCCCCCACCCCCGCCGCTTCCTTCTAGAGTATGTCACGTTCCTGACCGTGACCCGCAACCTGACCAGTGTACACGTCACCAACCGGAGGCCTCTCTTCACACACCTGGGTGAGCTGGCCCGAGGGTGCGCCCCTGACAAACCGAAGCTGAGAAAACACCGTCCCCCAGATGCCCTCACGACTTTTTCTTCCTAAGATTCTATTTACTTACTAGAGAGAGAGAACATGAGTGGGGGACAGAGGCAGAGGGGGAAGCAGGCTTCCCGCTGAGCAGGGACTCGATCCCGGGACCCCGCGGTCACGACCTGAGCTGAAGGCAGGCGCTTTCCCGACGGAGCCGCCAGGCACCCCCAGGTGCCCTCACACTTCTGACGCCACCTGCAGTTTCGGGGGTCCCCTCAGCACCGCCAGGTCGGATGAGTCCCCAGGAGGACCCCCAGAACACCGAGAGCGTGTCTGTGCGCGGATCTGGCTTGTTCAAGGGGAGGAGATGGTGAAAGAAACCAGAGCAGAGACGCCTGTTGGGCGGAGTCTGGGAGGGCTCCGTGTCCCGCACCGGAGTGTGGCAGTGGGCGCGGGCTATCGCCAAGCCCGAGCTCACCTGGGCTCAGCGTCCAGTTTGATTAGGACGTCGTGATGTGGGCACGACGCGCGGCTGAGCGACTGATGACTCACCTGATGGCCTCGGTCTCTAGGTCCCCGGAGGAGGCCAACCGAAGCTGCTGTCAGGCTTCGCATATTTGGTCTTTCTGGCCTGGCCGGTCCCCACCTCAAGCAAAGACACTCCTGTCTGGTGTGACATAAGTCCCTTCCTGGAAGGCCACACCTGTCTCTGGGCAAGGCCGCCTCCTTTACCACTTAATGCCACAGTGTTTCTTGATTTCCAGAGGGTGCCCACACCTGCCCTTGGCATCTGGAGTGGGGGTGATGGCCCTGGGGGCCTTGAGCCCCTGAAACCTGCCTGCAGAGCTCCCTGTGGGCAGGCTTGGAGAGAGGGCGGGTCCACAGTGCTCACCAGGTTCTGGACAGAGGTGCAGGGCCACCGATGTGTGGTCAGATGCCTGTGGGCATCTGGGAGGGTGTCCCCTGCCTGCCGCTGAGACTGCCTGACCAGCCAGGGCACTGGGCAGACGGGCTCCCTGGGGAGGGCTGGGGCCCCCGGGGAGGAGAGCTGTGGCACTGGGGACTTGTCCCCATGTTGCCACCACCCCGTTTGTTAAGTCAGGACCTCTTCTGTGAGAGGGCTGGCGCCCCAGCTGCCACAGGTGTGGGGGAGGCGGACGCCCCCGCCCACAGCCTTGCTCCCTCCACAGCCGTGCGGATCCGAGGGCGCTACGTCGTGGCTGGGAATTCCAGCATCTCTCCCAGCACCACCTACCCCTCCCTCCTGGAGGACAGCCGTGTGGGGTACCGAGTGGCCCTCACCGAGGACCGGCTGCCTCTCCTGGAGGAGATCCACATTCAGGGACCCAGCCAGGATGACGTGGAGATCCAGGTGATCGGGAGGGCCTGGGGGAGCTAGCGGGGCCTGCTCCTCCTGTCACCTGCTCCTTGGCTCAGCAGTCACATGGGGGGGTGCACGGGAGTCCCTGGAGTTCTGAGTGTGGGCGTGCAGGGGTTGCGGCTACCCCTGGGGAGGGCTGTGGCGCGAGGGTCTGAGATGAGCTGACGCTGCGGGGCCCAGCAGGGAGAGGGCGATGTGTGCGCAGGGTGCGTTGTTAGGAGGGATGAGGGAAGGGGACCCCACGTGTGAGGAGGTTGGAGGCTGCACAGGTCTCCAGGGGTCCTGTTGGCCATGACAGGGCTTGGGGTTTCCCCCCGGGCACTGGGGTGTTGGGGCCAGAGCTGCTGAGGGGGCTCTGGGTAAAGCTCAGGGGGGATCGGGCCTGTGTCAGGCCTGGCCGAAGGAGGCTGTGGGGAAAGAGTGGGATGCCCAGATTGGAGACCCACTGTGGGGGGCGTCCCTCCTGGAGCAGGGGCAGCCCAGCTGCTGGAAACAGGGAGACCCCGAGGTCAAGGGCTGGGGCCCGGGGACGCAGGTGGACGGGAGTTTGAATCCTGCCTTGGCAAGAACTCGGCAAGGGAATTGACTCTTCTGAACCTCAGTTTCCCCATCTGCAAAATGGGGCTAAGAATACATACATTATGAAGTTAGCGTGAAGATCCACCTCTTAAAGATAAGGGGCATTAAGCGTGCGGTGGGTGTCCAGCGCCCCATACGTGTGTGCCCCAAGAGGTGGCAGCTGCGACCAACATGCTTGCTGGCTTGGATCTTGAAAGTGCCAGAGGCTGGGGATGCCCCATCCTAATGGTGGGAAAGTGAGGACCCCCCCCCCCCGCTGCAGAAGTCCTGGGGCAAAGGGGTGGGTGCCAGGAGGGCCGACCCAGCAGCCGAAATTTCTCCCAAGCCTCGCTGTCCTCCGCAGATCATGCCAGGTTCTCATCCTGTCTCTGCTGCCGCCCCCAGACCTCAGTCTTCCCCCGTAGAATGGGCACGAGGCTGCCTCCTGCCTCCGAGGGTCGGGGATGCGTGTGCCAGGCCGTGTTGGCAGCAGTCACTGGTCCAGAGGAGGCTCTGGGTGGATGCTGGCTCTTCCTATCTCTCAGGGACAGAGCTCCCTGCGTGAGCTCCTCTGCTCATGTCCCCACGTGTGCTTTGTGGAGAAAGGCGCTTGGTGGAGTAGATGGACGTTAGCATGTGTTGAAATAGCCCTGGGGAGAGGTCCGAGGCTTGGTGGCCCTTGACTTTGGTCTAGCAGCGCCAGCCTCTGCCCCACAGCTGGAGAGACAGCAGGGGCTGCCCCAGAGTCCACCCAGGCTACAGGGAGCCCCCCGAGGACTAGTGCACTCCTTTCGTGACTCCCCGTGCAGCCCAGGCCACTCACCTCCCAACCCCCAGCAGCATTGTTCCCAGGGCCGCTCAGCTGCATCTGCACGCTTTGCGGTGTGTGTGTAAAACACAGATTCCGGGGCTGCTCCGAGCCACTGCGTCAGGACCTGCTGGGCGGCCCGAGCATCCCCATTCTTACAGAGAATGGTGCTGTGTGGCCGGTTGAGGACTTGTGAGGACAGGGGCTGGAACCTCTGCCCTCCAGGCTGGCCCCCATTCTTACAGAGAATGGTGCTGTGTGGCCGGTTGAGGACTTGTGAGGACAGGGGCTGGAACCTCTGCCCTCCAGGCTGGCCCCACTCTGGGGCTGGCCTTGGACACAGAGCCCCAGGACCGGCCGAGCTCCCTTGGGGAGTCCAGCGGACAAGGCCCCCAGCTCTCCGTCCATCTCTGGCAGGTTTACAGGCGCTACGGGGAGGAGTTTGGTGACCTTGCACGCCCAGACATCACCTTCACCTACTTCCAGCCTAAGCGGCCACAGGCCTGGGCATGGGCCGCCATGCGGGGGTCCTGCTCCGTGAGCTGTGGGGCAGGTGAGGCCTGGGGCGGGGCTCGCCTGAAGCAAGGTTTGCCCCCTGCAGGGAGGTGGCCCAGCCCCCCTCTTCCCTCCCAGGGCTGCGCTGGGTGACCTACGGCTGTCTGGACCAGGCCAGGAACGAGTGGGCAGAGGCCGCCCGGTGCAAAGGGAGCCAGCAGCCTGCAGCCTGGCCAGAGTCCTGCGCCCCTGGGCCCTGCCCCCCACAGTGAGTGCTGCCCGCGCTCTGCCGTGCCTGCTGGGCTCTCACTGGCTACGGGGCCCACGTCCTGAGCTGAGATCAAGAGTCAGAAGCTCAATTGGCCGAGCCCCCCGGACGTCGCTGGGACACCCAGGGGGCCACTGGGCTGAGTGGGCTGTCCCTGGGCCGTTTCCAGGAACCTGCAGGGACAGAGGGCCCAGTGCAGAGCAGGGAAGCCAGTCCGCTGGACAGATCTGCCTTTCTCTCCCTGCCTCTCCTGAGCCAGTCCTTGAGGGGACAGGGATGGCCCCGACACTCTGTCCCTCTCGTCCTCAGCTGGGCAGCCGGAGACTTCGGTGCGTGCAGCGTCTCCTGTGGGGGAGGCCTGCGGGAGAGGGCCGTGCACTGTGTGGAGGCCCAGGGGACCCTCCTGAGGCCACTGCCCCCTGCCCGGTGCAGAGCGCTGGCCCCAGAGCCGGCAGTGGTGGAAGCCTGCAACTCCCAGGCCTGCCCGGTGAGGTGAGCGCCGGGAGGCGGGGAGGCGAGTCCAGAGATGCAGGGCGGCGAGTGCAGGGAGGCAGGGAGGCGACTGCCCAACTCCAGTCAAGGCTCAGGGCTTGTCCTACACCTGGCCCTACCCTTGCAGGGTGTCCCCTCACCCCTAGGACTCTGGCTGGGCCCCACTGTCCCAGAGGGACCAGCTTCAGAATTACCGTCCAGGAGACACTGGGCTGGCCATTTCCCTCTCTGAATCCCCAGATCCTTGCTCACACATAAAGCCATAAGTGTCCCTTTGTTGTTACCATTGCCGTCCCCATGGTGCCTCCTTTCCCTTCAGGATCTGAGCTGACAGTGGCTTCTTCTGAGTTGCTGCTAACTGGCTGGGGCACCAGGTCAAGTCCCTTCCCTCTCTGGGCCCCAGTTCTGTTACTGGTCCAGTGGGGAGGGGCCTGGCCTCGGTCACTGGTGGCGCACACATGGCTCGGGCTCCCTTGCCCCTCTCCCGTGCGTGGCAGACCTGGGAATCCTCACCCTTTCCCACAGAGGCCGCTCCTGCCTCAGCTCAGCTGGCAGCTGCCCCCTGTCAGGGCTGGCCTGGACTCGGAACGCGGTTGCCATCCCTCACCTGGGTGGCCTGATTCCGTTTCTTGGCACCTGCTAGGGTGTGAGGAGTGATGGTACTCTCGGGACAGAGGCCCACCTTCCTCTCTGGAAGGCACCGGGTCCAGGCCTGAGTCCCAGCCCCCGGGCTGCCAAGTGGAGGGCTGGCCGCCGCTTGTCCAGCACTCTAGGGAGAGGCCTCGGGGTTTTGCTTCTTTGTGGGGCTCCTCCTTGAGTGCCGGGGTGCTGGGGTGCAGGTTCACTGCCTTTCCCCGCCCCAGGAGCCCGGCTATACCTACAGCCCGATGAGAGGCAGGGCCTGCTGTCTGTCCTGTCCTCAGGCAGGAGGGCTCAGACGCGTGCTCGCCAGCCTGTGGAGCAGACCCGGCTTTGTGGAATAGGACATGTGTGCGCAGGGCAGAGGGCCCGGCCACCGCGGGACCCTGCCCCACAGACGAGAAGCTGCATGCCCAGGAGCCCTGTGTGGCCACATGTTCTTCAGAACCAAGCAATGTGAGTATCCTGGGCACAAGGGTAACCCTGGGCTATTGGGGGCTTATCGGACAGGAGAACGGGGAGCACTGGGTACCCTTGGCCTCCTGGCCAGAGCACAAGGACTGTCCTTCTGCAACGTGGCTGTGTACAGGACCCGCCTCGCTCAAAGGATGAGCCTAGGGAGAAAGCTCTGGGCCTCGTCCCCCCTCCAGCTGGCAAGCTGGGCTTGGGCCCCAGACCCAAGCATCCCATTAGGATGTGGCTGGTCTGGCTCCCAAGCCCCAGCCTCAGCCCTGCCCTGCGGATGACCGCTGTGCTGATACAGAGGTAAAGGTGGCGAGTGGGGTGGGGGCGTCCTCAGGCAGCCTGAAGCAAGTGTTCCCGGAAAGGAGCAGTGGGAGGGGCCACCTTTGGGGTTCTGCTGACCACACCCCCTCTCCTGAAGAGATTGGGGTGGGTGGGGTGGGGGATCAGGGATCCAGAGGGGGAGACTGAGACCGAGACCCAGCAGCCTGTTGCTTGTCCCCCGCAGCCAGACCCCCGGTCTCTGGAGGAGGAGGCCACATCCCCACCGGGCGGCGCTGGGGTGGGGGCTCACGCCGCACACATGTGGACTCCCCTGGCGGGGCCGTGCTCTGCCTCCTGCGGTCGAGGTGAGGCCCCCAGGGCTCCTTCGCTAACTCCTACCTGCCTACCTTTTGCATAGTTCTAAAATGCATTTGAACCGGCTCAAGTTCAAATCCAGACTAGGTCAGAGAATCCAGACTAGGTCAGAACGTGACGTCATATACAAAGAGGTTGGGGCATATCTTCATTGCTTGGGTGAAAGGCAGGAGACACAATAAAACTCGGCGGTATTGGCTCCCACATGTATTTCTAGAAAGTCAGCGAGCAAAGGGCCCCAGACAGCTCTGAGCTTCCTGGTCGCCGTGTCAGAGCAGCAAGGTTTTAAGATACGATGCGTTCTTGCACTACAGGCCTCGGCACTTGCCCAGGGAAACCTGTCCGTGTTCAGAATCAAGGCCAGGGATTCTTTTGAGGCTAGTCCTAAAGCAGAGATTCGCTGAACTGGACCCTGATACCATCGTAGTCATAAACACAATACAGGATGGTTAGAGCAGTTCTCACCGAGTGACAAGAGGCAGAGCTGCCGCTGGAGGGCCTGCCATGGGCCAGGCCCTTTGTATCCCACTTCAAAGTCCGTATAAATATCCCTGTAAGCGAGGCACCATCAGGTGAAAAATCTGAGGCTCAGAGAGGTTAAGTCACTTGTCCAAGGTCACCTAGCTGGCGAGTCGGATCTTCTGGAGCTCTCCAGAGAGCGGGACACCCGTAGTTCTTGTCGAACCCTCCTCTTGGGGCTTGGGGTCTCTGCTTCCTCCCCACAGGCCTGAGGGAGCTGCGTTTCGTGTGCATGGACTCTGTCCTGGGGACCCCTGTCCAGGAAGAGCTCTGTGACCTGGGAAGCAAGCCTGGGAGTCGGCGGGAAGCCTGTCGGGCTGCCCCTTGCCCGGCTTGGTGAGGGGGCGTGGAGACTATGCGGTGGGGGTTGGGGGTTGGGGGGAGGCAGCAGCCCCGGTCCCTGAGGGAGGGAAGCGTGTCACCCCGGGATGTCGCCTCCGACAGAGCTCTGGCCTTCCTGCTGCAGGTGGGAGACCCGAGCCTCGGCACCGTGCCCAGTGACCTGCGGACGGGGCTGGGTGCCACTGGCTATTCGGTGCGTGAGGCTGGACCAAGGCCACCCTGTCCCCCTGCCTCCCTCCGAGTGCTGGCGGGTGCCCAGGCCCCGCCCCGTGCAGGACTGCAGCCGGAAACCCTGCCCTGCCAGGTGGGCCCCTTCCCAGGGAGACAGGTGGTCCCAGGCACGCGTCCTCGGAGCGGGCCTCAGCCCCTCCCTGTAAGCTGCTCGGTGCCCTCCCCTACAGGACCCCGCACTGGTGTCCTGGAAGGCTGTGGTGGGCTTCAGGCTTGTGGGACGCTGTGAGCACGCGTGGCTGATGGCTTGTCATCCCTTGCTCTTCCCCGAGCGCCTGCCACGCCCGGGGGCCGTTCTGACGGTAGGGACACAGCAGTGAGTAGGACAGACAGGTACCCCGGCCCTCCTGGAGCAGAAGCCAGGGGCAGTGGGGAGATGGAAGAGTGAGCAGACTGACCGGGAGACACAGTTTGCCGTTGGCGTTGGCGTGATATGGCAAACACAGCCTGTGGGGGGCCGGCATTCCTATTAGAGACACAGCCAGCTTCGCAGTCCCCCTGGGGTGCTCTGTCTCTCCCCCATCTGCCCTTTGAACACATCAGTTTGCCCTCAGCGTTCTGTCTGGGAAGTGGGTCTTTCGGAATGTTCTCTGTCCAGCCTCTTGGTGGAGACGCAAGGGTGCCCCTCAGAGAAAGGACGTCTCCAGGCCCTTCCCAGTCTGGGGAAACGAGGGACGGCCCCGCTCCCCTGGGTTCCCCCCAGCTCCGGTGTGTTTCAGGTGGAGGTATGAGTTGGCGGCGTGCAGCGTGAGCTGCGGAGGAGGGTTTGCGCAGAGGCTGCTGTACTGTGCGCGGGCCCACGGGGAGGATGAGGATGAGGAGGTCCTGCCGGATACCCAGTGCCAGGGGCTGCCTCGCCCGGAGCAGCGGGAGGCCTGCAGCCCAGAGCCCTGCCCGGCCAGGTCAGCAGCCCCAGGGTGTCGAGGAAGCAGCTTGACATTCCAGAGTGTGCAGACCCCAGGCCAGTCACCGTGGGGCTCATGGGCTGGCTCCAGCCCGGGAGATGGTCCTCGGGGAGTAGGATTCCCTGGCAGGCCGCCCTAGGAGTCAGAGGCGACATTCCAACGAAATGCAGACGGGGTTGCAGGTTCTCGTCAGGGCTTGGTTGGGGTCGGGAGGCTCTGGAGAGGTCTCCGGGAGGAGGAAGGGTGCGGAGCCCGAGGGTGGTCCCCCCACCAGCCCGAGGGTGGTCCCAGCTGGGGCACAGGACCTAACAGCTGAAGCCAGCGAGGTCCCGAGGTGGGGTTGGAGCCTGCAGGGGGCCCATTTCTCCACCAGGGGTGACTCTGCCTCCCACAGGACATGTGGCAGTGTCTGGAGACATTTTCAATGTCACGGCTAGGGAAGGGGGATGCTAGTGGCCTCCGGTGAGCGGGTGGAGGCCAGGTGCGCAGTTGAACATCCCACACAGCCCAGATGCCCCCACGACAGGACCGCTGGCCCCCGAGGTCAGTGGTGCCCAGGTGGAGAAGCACGTGTGCTCTGAAGGGCGGGTAGGGGTCTCGGTCTGGTTCAGTCCATCTCCCTAGCGTCTAGAATAGCGCCAGGCCCGCTGAAGGCATGGTTGCGAGGTGGCATCCCAGAGCCAGGAGGCGGCCCGGTGTCACGGTGGGGGCCTCAGCCTCTAGCACGGGTTCCCAGGGTTCGGCCCCGGCTCTGAAAGACCTCAGCTGTTACTGTTTGTTGACCAGTTACAGATGAATACCAGCAGGGCTGACCCGTGCAGAGACTGGTTTTCCTCCTCCTGGGGCATCTTCTCCCCCATCCCTGTTACTTGGAGAATGGAGGAGCGGTGAGCCCTCCCCGGGCTCAGGGCCGCGCTCTGGGCCTTGGTCTCTTGCAGGTGGAAAATCATGTCCCTTGGCCCGTGCTCAGCCAGCTGTGGCCTCGGCACTGCCACACGCTCCGTGGCCTGTGTGCGGCTCAGCCAAGGCCAGGATGTGGAGGTGGAGGGGGCAGCCTGCTCGGCTCAGGTGCGGCCTCAGGCCAGCATCCCTTGTGTCATCACTGACTGCACCTACAGGTGGCATGTCAGCTCCTGGACACAGGTAAGCGTTGGGGCTGGGGCTGGGGAGTATGTCCGCCCAGGGTCCTGACTCATGGGGACCCTGGGGGCTTTGACTCATTGTGATCCCCTGAAAGGAGGGAGAGAGTAGGGTGGGAGGAGGTGGCCGGGTGCCTAGAGATGGGAGACATAGCAGGGCCTCGAGACCTGAGGGGCGGGTCTGGACTGAGGTCTGGAGACACCAGGAGATGAAGGGGAAGGTGACTCCATCCCACACCTTTATCTTTCTGGGGCCATCCTGTACCCAAGCACCTCACAAAGTACGAGAGAGACTAAGGAAAATAGGGTTAGGTCTCCCGCTGGAGGCCCTCACTCATGGTATGGAGCGGGAGAAGGGGCCAAGCAGACAGCCACCCCCGGCATCAATCAGAGGACTGTGGGCATCTGGGTCGTGCAGAGACGGGACCTCAGATGACGGCCGTGCGGGGCAGGAGGGCGGGGTGGGGGCCGGCTGCTGAGCCTCAGTCTCGCCATCTGTGGAATGGAGACATGGGCTCGCCTCCTGGGCTGTGCAAAGCTTAGATCAGATCACACGTGGCCAGTGGCCACTGCTGTCCCTGACCCTCTGGCAAGGTCTGCCGCAGCTCCCTCTCCTCTTTCCTGGCAGTGCTCTGTCTCCTGCGGAGATGGCACCCAGCACCGGCGTCACACCTGCATTGGACCCCAGACCCAGGCACCCATGCCCGCCGGCTTCTGCCAGCACTTGCCCAAGCCAGCCACTGTGCAGAGCTGCTGGGCCGGACCCTGCACCGGGCAGGGGACTCCCAGTCCGGCACCCCGCCGGGAAGCCGCTGCCGCAGACCTGGCCATTGCTGGCGCTTCTCTGGAGTGGCCCCAGCCCCGGGCCCACCTCCTCTCCCCAGCTTCCCGGCCTCAGGGGCTCCTGCCTGGGCTCCAGGAAAGCCCAGCTGAGCCCAGTTATGTTCTTTAACCTTTCTGCCTGGGCGGCCGGCTGGCTGCAGGAGGGTGGGCAGAGGCATTTCCCCTGGGAGAGCTGGGGCCAGCTCCTCATGGGACCCCCGTGGCGTGGATCGCTGGAGGCATGCGGCCGGACCGAAGGCATGGGCTTGGGCGGTGGTGCTCGGGGCCAGCCCTCCTCTTCTACTTTGCTTCCACTGGCAGAGCTCAAGCTCACTTTCGCTATCATCAAGGGAAAGGGAACCTGAGGTTTCGTGGAGTCCGACCCAGGTCTGTGGGACTCCAAGCCATACCCTGCTGTATACACCGCTTCCCTCTCACCAGGGCATCCGGAAGCGGCTCTGGGCCCCGGATGGAGACACCGGGACCCATGCAGCTTCCTCCCCTGCCCGAACCTGCTTCTGGCGGGGCCCAGGAGGATGCCAGCCCCCCACCTGCCAGGCTCCTCCCCAACATGGAACCCCCCGCCCTGCTGGGGGTGTCCGCCGCCCGGAAGCCCTGTTCACCCGTGCTCCTGCCCTCTTTCCAGGCGCCTGCGGCCAGCAGCACCTTGAGCCGACAGGAACCATTGACATGCGAGGCCCAGGGCAGACTGACTGTGCCGTGGCCATTGGGCGGCCGCTGGGTGAGGTGGTGACCCTTCAGGTCCTGGAGAGCTCCCTCAGCTGCAGGGCTGGTAGGTCTCGGGCCATGTGCACAGCTGCTGCCCAGCGTCAGGCCGCTATGCGCTGGGGAGCACAACTCCCGGCTACCCCTGTCCCGGCACGATGTGCCACAGGCAACCCCACCTGGAATCCTCATGGCCATCGCAGACGGGCGCGGGCTGGTCCCGTTGCACAGATGGGGAAACTGAGGTTGTGACTGGGGACTTGGAGTCACGTAGCCGGGACATGGGAGGGACCCGGTCGTGGCTCCTTCTACCCCAGGCCCCCGTGCTGCTGATGCTCACCGCACGGCCCCTTCCTAGGGGACATGCTGCTGCTTTGGGACAGGTTCACATGGAGGAAGACGTGCGGGAAGCTGTCTGGCTCGACCTTCAGCTCCAAAACGAACACGCTGGTGGTGAGGCAGCGCCGCACGCGGCCTGAAGGCGGGGTTGTGCTGCGGTACGGGAGCCGGCCTGCCTCGGGAACCCCCCACAGAGGTACGGGGGCGCCAGAGCCTTCCCCCGATCTCTGCAGGGCAGCCGGGTGGGCAGACAGGGCACCCATGGAGATGGAGGACCCCCCACTGGCTCCCTGACCCCAGGACGAGGTCCTGGCACGTGGACATGTGTGCCGTGTCTCTTCCTCCCTGGGGCCTTGCAGCAACAGGGGCGGACGTGGACCCTGACATCCTCACCTTGTCGCTCAGGCCGCCACCATGGACCCCCGCCCTGGCCCTGATGTCCTTCAAGACCCTTAGAGTCCTCTGTGCTCTTGGCTCAGCGCCCGCAGAGCTGTGTGTGCACGCATGCGTATACGTGTGTGCGCACAACTTCACGGGGGAGATGGCATCCCACGGCCCCCCGCTGTCCTCCCTGCTGTCCCACGGCCCTCTGGAGGCCCCCGGGGACTTGCCGTCCCCCAACAGCCCAGGCTGGCTGAATGTGGGTTCCCCAGCCAGTTCCAGAGGTTTCTGGGCTCCCCCTGGCTTTGCCTCTACAGAGACGTGACGCCGTCCCCGATCTCTCGGTGCCCTCACTGAGAGCACAGGCTGGCCGCCCCTTCTCACTGCTCTCCACTTCCTGGTCTTTTGCACGTGGGCTTTTGCTCCCTGGGGGCCAGGGGGTGCAGGCAGGCGGGTGGCTTTTGTGACAGGTTCAATGTTAAGCACTTTTGCACACGTGACTTGAGTCCTAAAAACCACTCTCCTGGCACCTGCCCTTGTTAGCGTCACTCTACAGGGGGGGATCTGGAGCTCAGAGCGCTGAAAGCCTTCGCCTAGGGTCACACAACAGAGCGTGGTGGAGGTGGGGTTCAGTGGCGGCTTCTGTGTGGGAGACCTGATCTTGAGAACACCACCATATTGCCCCCCTTCACTGCTCCCCAGCTGTGAGCTACCCTGGCCTCCGGCACTGGTGGTCTTTCTGGGGGCTCCTAGGACCCGAGATGGTCCCCACCCGCCCATCCACCTGCTCTTTTCTGCAGACTGTGACGTGCAGCGCTTTGGACCCTCGGGTGAAATCGTGAGCCCCTCGAAGAGTCCCGATGGGAGCAACTCGGGGGGCTGCCGCATCTTCATTAACGTGGTCCCGCAGGCCCGGATTGCCATCCATGCCCTGACCACTGACGTGGGCTCGGGAACCGGAGCCAGCTACATCTCCGTAAGGCCACCAGGATGGGGACAGGAATGGGCTGAATTTCGCTGATTCGAGATAGCTGTCCCTGGGGATGGGAACCGGGGGTGCTGTACTAGAGGACCCCCTGACTTTGCTCTAAACCTGAAAATCATTAGTGAAAGAATAGGAGAGAAGAATTTCCTCCACTTACTCACCAACAAACGTTTATTGAGCTCTGCGCAGGAGGGAAACACAGACCTTTTCTGACGTAGACTGTTAACCCAGGCCTGAAGCATAATTTTAGACCCTGTTACAACTTTTCCAGAAGAGGCCAGTCCCTCCCCACACGCGGTTCATGTGTTCCGAGAGAACTGTCCTCTGCAAGGTGTCAGCTCCCCCAGTGCATGCAGCCTGTCTTCTGGAATCCAGGTCTAGCACCCTGGCTGTGTGTCCTTGGAGAAGTAGCACAACTTCTCTGAACCTCAGTTTCTGGGGTGGAGCAATAGTGTCTTCCTGATAGGGCTGTTGTGTGAAGATTAAATGTGACCCTGAGTGTATGATGCCGTGTAGGAATGTGAGCTAGTTATCATTGTGGCTGGCCCTTTGGGGCTGCCCCTTTCCCCTCAGATCCGGGACACCCACAGCCTGAAGACGATGACATTCCGTGGGCAGCAGGCACTCTACTGGGAGTCAGAGGGAAGCCAGGCTGAGATGGAGTTTAGCCAGGGCTTCCTGGAGGCGCATGCCAGCCTGCGGGGCTGGTACTGGACCCTCCAATCTAGGGTGCAGGAGCCTGGCCGGGCCGCGCTCTAGCTTCCTCTCCAAGGACATTTCTCCAGGGACCTGTGGGCGCAGTGGGATGCCTCCTCCAGGTTCTGGAAGAGACAGGAAGGAGGCTGACATTTATGAGCACCTGTTCGGTGCCCGGCGAACCCGAGGGTTGACTCTGGTCTCTGAGTGCTTTCCAGTTTGGATCCCTCCAGTCTTAAGTAGCTCCTTCAGGGCCTTGGGAAGCAGGGACTGGACTCCCTGAAAAGGCCTCTCTGTACCAATAAACGGAATGTGCAGTCCGAGAAGCGCTTACTTCATACCCTGTCCCAACCAGCTTGAAAACCCACCCGACGGCGTTGCCGAGATTCCTGGCGGCGGTCGGGTCCAGACCCATTCTTGACCTGAGCAAGCCCCATGCCACCCCTAGAGGTCTTTTCTGCTGCCCAGGGAGGAGGACAAGGGACTGTGTGGACTCAAGAATGGGCCCGACCCTGGCGCACCTGTTAATTCTCTGCGAAGTCCCGCCCGGTGATCTGAAGGCGGAGAGTGCCTGAGCCACCGCGCCCCGCCCCCTATGCTAATGAGCGCGAGGCCCTGGGGCTCCCCTCGCCCCCGCCCTGCGAGCGCCGCCCCCTATGCTAATGAGCGGCCGCCTCTCCCACAAGGCAGCGCGCCGGGCCGACGCGGCCGGCTCCGGAGCCCTTTGTCAGGGCGGCGGACGACGCAGACGGCGGCACCATGAGCGGCTCGGGCGGGGCGGCGGCGGCGGCCGTCAGCTCCGCGCCGCCCGCGCAGGACGAGGGAATGACGTGGTGGTACCGCTGGCTGTGTCGCCTGTCGGGGGTGCTGGGGGCCGTCTGTGAGTACCCGGCCCGGGGGAGGGGCCGGCCCCGCCGCCCACCGCGCATGCGTGTCCGGCCCCGCCCCTCTGGCGCGCCCCCGCGGGGGGGCTGGGTGGGCGTGGGGGGAGGCTCTGCGGGGCGCGCGCGGGGAGGACGCCGGGCGGTTGCTATGGTTACCGGCGGCCGGGCCGCTCCGGGGAGGTTTCGGGAGGGAAAGTGCGCTCCCGCGGCCGAGTCGCCGCCCCCCGCCGCGTCGCAGCGCGAGGACCCGCGGCCTCTGCCCCGGGGGGCGGCTCGCGGGGCGCCGGCCTAGCCCGGCCCGGACGGAGCCTCACCTGTTGACTTGGGCGTGGGCGTGGGCGTGGGTGTGGGTGGGGGCGGCCGCGGTCTTCCCCTTCGGGCGAGGGTTGTTGATACGTGGGGCGGATGGTGCCGGGGGACAAGCGGTCCCCGAGGGAGGCCCGGCACTGAGCCGAGGGGACGCGGCCTCTCCTCTGGTGCTCCCTGTCCATCCGGAGGCCGGCGCGTGCCCTCTGCGGCCGCTGGGCCTCGGCCGCCCCCCGCCCCGCGTCCCCCCAGCGCCATCCCCGGCGCACGTCCCGCCAGGCGAACAGGAAGGCAGACTGCTACAGAAGTGAAATAAAGATCCTGCGGCGGGTCTTCGAGCGCGGATGCGCGTCCAGTGTTTGAACCTCGGCTCTCCTCTCCCCTGCCTGCGGCCCTCGCTTTGGGGATTGCTGGAGGAGCGGGCACCTTCTCCGGGCTGGAACCAGTGCCCGCCTGGCACCGCGGGCTGGGGCAGGGCAGATCCTGATCGAGTCTGCCAGTAGGAACACCTTTCAGGGTCCCCTTCCAGCCCCACAGCCCTGCAGGGTGGGTGCATGCTGGAAGGAGGTTCAGGAGTGCCGGGGTGGGAGTGCACCGCCCAGGCAGGGCAGGCCCTCGTCCAGAGGCGTCCCCGTCACCGCTGGGGGAGCAAGCATGTTTCTGACTCGGGAGGAGAGACTGGTGGCTGGAGGTCAGGCCCTAGATAAGATGCTTGCGCCCTGGTATCCCGTGCAGTTCTGGGTCTCAGAGTGGAGTACCTGGGCTGTCCCAGGACTTCATGGTGTCGAGGCTACAGATTAAGCGCCAGAAACTAGTGGCTTTGAAATGTCAGTTTCACCTGAAGATGGGGGGCGGAGGGGGTGGTTATGCAAATACCAAACAGTCCGCCCCAGGGTACAACACAAAGCATGCAGGAGTTTTAGGGATGGGGGGCGCCTGGCCCGCCCTGTGGGTGGCTGTGTGAGTCTTGATCTTGGGGTTGTGAGTTCAAGACCCACACTGGGCGCAGACATTACTGAAAAATAAAATATTAAGAAAAAAGGCTCAGGGATGAAACAGGAATTCTGGTTGGTCACTTCAGGGTAGGGTTGCCGTCCTGGCTGGTGGGGGCCTCAGGGGGGCATTTATGCAGGGTCCCCGACAGTCCTGTAGAGGCTGTAGGCTGGGAGGAAAGAGGACGGTACAGGATGCCTCCCACACTTAGCCAACCCCAGGAGCATCTTCCAGCCTTGATTGTTATGGGGCTCCTGGCTGGAGTCTTTCTGTCCGGGTTGAAACCTGGTTCTCTCCCACGGCTGGCTGTTGGTAGGACGGCGGGGGGAGGGTTGGAGCTGGAGGGGAACTGCTGGCTGCCGCAGGTGTAGACCGCTGTCAGAGGAGCCCAGGCAGAGCCGAGAGCCGGGCAGAAGCAGTACTGTGTTGTGGGCACTCCCGTCCACGGCTCTGGTGGGGGGCCTTGCTGCCTGAAAGCCTATGTGCTATGTCCAAGGGGAATGTCTCCTTTTTAGAAGGCAGAATGCGCCTTTGTCCTTTCAGGAGACCTTGGGGACGCACAGGGCAGCCCCTCTGCAGTTCGGGCTCACTTCCTCCGGTTTCTCCACCGCCCGCAGCCTGCATAGGGTCACAAGGGAAAACAACAGGAGAATTCCAGTCCCAGCCGGGGATCAGGTGCCCAACCCCGGGAGCTGCTGCAAGTTTAATCAACTGGTTGTTAATTGCTGCTTCAGGGCCCAGCTCTAGCCACACCCCAGCGAGGGCCTGGGCTAGATGCCTGGCTGGGAGCCAGGGCCCCGGAAGTGCCTAGCTGGCTCCGGGGAGTTCCGGGAGAAGCGGGCCCAGAGGCGGCTGCTGTGTCTGGTGTGTGCGGAGGCCGAGGCGGGTGTGGCACACCCTGCCCGTGGGCGTGGTCGGGAGTGCAGGGCCAGGCTCCACATTTGGGGCATCAGGACCTGGTGTTGCAGGGGTGGGTGGGCCGGGCTGTGGCCCGTCCTGTGTGCAGGAGAGCAAACGGGCCTAAAACAGGGACGAGAACATCCTCAGCCGGTGTGTCGGTCACAGCACGCCGCACACCACAGCACGCCGCACACACACAGCCGCACACCACAGCACACCAGGTCTACCCGATCCCGATTTCTGCTCCGAGAGAGGCAGCCCTTGTCCCAACCCAAATCCAAGCCACGTTTCCTGCGTCAGAGGCTTCTTGTGTGGCCGACCCGGCGAATGGTGGCGCCTGCCTGGCCCGAGCCCTCCAGACGCTTGTCTCTTCATCCTCTGTACCTTGTGGTGGGTGCGGGTACGACTGGGGTTCAGAGGCCCGCCCAGCCGTGGACAGGACAGAGGGTGAGGTGCCCTCCAAGCCAGCCAGCCGCACCCTTGCTGTGCGGCCTGGAGCCAGCTGCTTTGGCTCTCTGAGCTGCAGCCTCACCGGACGCCCAGCGGTTCCACTGGTCTCACCTGTCTCGGATGGCAGAGGGGAGACTTGGAGGTGCTGTCGGGGAAGCAAGCGTGGGGTGTCAGAAGGGGTCTGCTGGGGGTCCTTCCCGGCAGGCTCTGTCCTTTCCTCCCTGCTGATTCCTGCTCCTGTCTCGCTTCCAAGCTTGCGCCATCTCGGGCCTCTTCAACTGCGTCACCATCCGCCCTCTGAACATTGCGGCCGGCGTGTGGATGATGTGAGTGGCCGGTGGGGCTGGGGGCGTGTGGGTTCTGGCCGCTGTGCAGGCCTTCACCTCCTCCATACCCTGCCACGTTCTGTTTTCCTGATTCTCTGTAGGGCCAGGCCAGGGGCACACCCACCCAGGCACCTCTGGGTTTAGGACTGGGGTCACCAATGTGTTCTGAGTGTCCACTGAGCCAGACTGTGCCGGCCCCATGTCTTCTCCCCTGGGCCTGGCCTCTGGGAGCTCTGGGGGTCCTCAGGGCTGGTCTAGTTGGAAGCTTGGCATCCAGTGGGTTTGGAGCCTGGTGCTGGGATCAGGAGCCCCAGTGCGAGGTGGGCAAGCCACGGCCAGGGCAGGACTAGAGCGGGGGCGGGATCAGGCGGTCAGAGCGCCTTGGATGAATTCTCTGCCCGCCTCCTGCCAAGGTAGCTCCATCCCGGGGGAGGGGAAGGCAGGGGTGACACTGGCCAGCGCAGCTTTGGCCACATCTAAGCCACCTAGTGCATGTGAAAGGCGGCTGTGCCCCAAGTGTGGCCTGTGCCCAGGTGGGACCTGGCGGGGAGGGGCACGGAGGTGGACAGGTTGGGGCCCTGCCCTCGGAGAACTCAGGCCGGGGTGGAGGCTGGCTGGGGTGGGACCCAGAGGCGCATGGGGGACGTGGGGGTCAGGGCGCTGGCCCAAGGCTTCAGTGGGCAGAGTCCAGAGGTCGGCTGGCCTGACTGGGGAAGGGCTGGGTGGACGGGGCTGGAGGGGAGGCTGGGGAGGAGCCGGGCAGGGGGCAGGGCTGGTGTGGGGTGTGCAGAGTCCCCGCTCTGGGCTCCGGCGGGCTCTTGGGGCACCCACCGCTGGAGTTTCTGTTGAAGGTAGGTAATGAGGGCCCAGTGTCTGTGACTGTGCCCCCGTCACAGGGAACTCGAAGACCGGAGCAGACACCTCGGTCTGTCCCCACGGGTTAGCCGTCCCGGCCTGAGCACAGGGTGGCGGGGGCAGGGGGAGAGAACCCTGCCCCACAGGGCTTGCCACGCTTCCTCTGCCCTGGGCGGGCTTGCCGACGGTCAGCGCTCAGTGACTGTGGCCTGACCCACTCCTCACTGCCCTTGGCGGACAAGCCGCTGCTGGGCACGCTTTCTCCGTGCTGACGGCCGTGTGGGGGACAGTGGTGGCGATGCAGGAAGCCGAGTGGCGGCTGGCTCTCTGCCCAGGGCTAAGCGTGGAGGGGCTCGCTGTATGCTTATGGAGGCGCTGTGACACGGGGGGTCTCGTCTCCTTCAAGGACAGAGGGTGCAGGGAAGGCCGGACCCTGCCTCCAGAGTGCTGGCTTCGGTGAGGGGGCTGGTGTGCGAGCGGTGGCTCGGCAGAGGCCCCGAGAGGCGGATGCGGGGGGCACGGGAAGGGTGGCATTCCGGGGTTGGGTATCGGGGACCCCCGCCCCCTCAGGCCTGTCAGCCTGCCCCCCCTTTCCCTGCCCTCCAGCATGAATGCCTCCATCCTGCTGCTCTGCGAGGCGCCCTTCTGCTGCCAGTTCGTCGAGTTCGCGAACACGGTGGCCGGGAAGGTGGACCGGCTGCGCTCCTGGCAGAAGGCTGCCTTCTACTGCGGGTGAGGGGCCCCGCGAGGGCCGGGCCGACGCGGACCTTGAACCTTCCAGGGCCCCTGACACGGTTCCCCAAAACTCAAGGACCTGAAGGGCAGGCGATGGCTGGTGTCCCGCGCGGCGGGGGTACCGTGGGTGAGGAGGAGGCCGGGAGAGCGTCGTGCAGAGCCCTCTGGTCGCGGCCGATGTGAAGTGCGACCCAGCGAGGCGGGAGCGGGCCCACCACCGCGGTGCAGACGTGGGAGGCGGGTGCCCTGTGGCGCGGCCTGCTGTGTCCGAGAAGCGAGCGGCCTGGGATGTTGGCCCATCGTTTGGGAGTTGTTGACTAGATTCTGGTAGGTTCACAGGATGTGTTGTGGCAGCCCATCGGGTGCCCTGATGGGAGAGCGGATTGCAGGACAGAAATGGTCACCTTCCCACACGCTTTCCTTGGGCTTCCTACCTTCTAACACCAGATTCCGTAGGCAGCCCTGTCCACCTGAGTCATGAGGCTGAACTAATTTCAGGGTGTGCCTGCCACACAGAAGCCTCTAGAACAGGGCAGGCACATGGGAGGCCCTCAGCAGCTTCTGGGGGCCACACCAGTAGTTACTTGGATTTAGGTTATCTTTGAAAGAAAAGCGGAGATGTTTATTCTAGAGGTTTCTTCCCTTTGTGAAAGCCAGTGGTGTTGGTTTTTTTTTTTTAATCTTTTAAAAGATTTTATTTACTTATTTGACGGAGAGAGAGAGAGAATGTAGAAGCAGGGGCGGCAGGAGAGGGAGAAGCAGGCTCCCCGCCGAGCACAGAGCCTGACTCGGTGCTCGATCCCAGGACCCTGGGATCATGAAGGCAGAGGCCTGACTGAGCCCCCAGGCGCCCCCGAGGCCAGTGGTTGTGACAATACCAGACACGCATTCATTCGTGCTAGAGCCCTGCCCACCTGGTCTCCACCACAGAGGAACGCCGGGTCTCAGTGCTGTCTGCCATCATGTCCTTTGCCTCAGTCTTTATTTTTAAGAGAAATATTAAAAAAAATACGAACAGCAACCTCTGTTCGTTACAAATGATTTGGAACATACTGGAGCCCCCTGCTTGGAGCCCTTTGGTAAGCCTCAGTCTGCTCCTCTGCAGGTGGCTTTTAAACCTGTTTCTGCGGTGGTTGTAACCGTTCTAAGTAAATTTGTGTCCTGCTTTTTTTCCCTTTGCATCGTGATGGAAACATTTTCAGGATCACCACGAAGACTTTATGACGTTGCTTCTAATGATGGGAGCGCTTACCGCACTGTGCACGCCACGCTTTTCTTAATTGGTAAACCGGGGTCCAGATCAGATCAGTCGTGGCAGCAGCAACGCGCCAAAACCCTCCCGTGACACTCTGCTCGAGCCGTGTTCGCGGCGCGCTTACTAGGTCAGAGGTCACAGTCACCAGAGAGGCCTCAGTACGGGACGACCTTGCTTCCCGAAGAGGTGATCAGAGTTTCTGTCCCTCTCCCGCCTCCCGGGGCGGGGCACCATTTTACATTTGTGTCCGTGGTCGGGGAGGTGAGATGTTTTTTCAGACGTTTTTACTGACTGCGTTTTCTTTTTTGGAAATGGTCTCGTTTACTTTTTTACCTATTGGCATCCTAACGCTCTACTTAGAAAGTTCTACGTTTCCCGGAGGGAAGGTTTCCCGGTGCTTTGTTACACTCCCTGCAGATATTTTTCCAGCCTGTTTGCCTTGGTCTCGACGGAAGATTGTCCCCATGGTCTTTCGTGTGTGTGTTGTTTCTCCTTTTCTTCTGTTACTTCAGGGTTTTATGACCACGGTAAAACCTCACCATCACTTATCCCTCCTGAAAGCATCAAGTGGAATTCAGCGGGCGGCCCGGTCTTACCTTCTCTGTGTACAGGGTGCGCCTGGGCAGGGGAGGCCTCTGGGCACAGCCTGGCCCAGGGAAGCCCAGGACAGAGAGCTGGCCCTCCAGGCACGGTGTCTTCCTGGCCTGGCTAAGCTTGGCCGCCGCCATGGTTTGGGAGTCCCAGCCAGCACCTAGACTCAGCCCCGTGGCTACTGCAGCCAGAGCGGACACCAGACGGAGGTCTGGACCAGACGGAGCTGGGGCTGCCCCCGCTGGGAACCAGGAAACCCCATGCCTTGTGCACTTGCAGCTTTGGGTTCCGTCCTGGGGGATGTGGCCGGTTTGCCGCAGTACAGCGAGCTGCCGTGTGTGCGGTGCTGACGCTGTTCCGGGCATCATGTCCTTAACACGGGAGGAGTTCAGGAACTTGCCGAGTCGGAAGCCGCTAGGAGCTGGACTGACCTGAGATTTGCTGGTCGGCCTGTTTTCTGGGCAGGGAGAGGGACTCTCCCAGTGCTGTTTCTCCCTTTGTGTACCACAGACCCTTGGAACGATCTGACGAAGGCTTTACGTCCTCTCCCCAGAAAGTACACAGGATTCCACAGACAAGTGCACATGTGTCTAAGGGCTTTCCAAAGCCTGGCCGTGAACTAGTGTCGGGACTGATTTCCAGGGACCCTTCCCAGCCCTGGTGTCCGGGAAGGGGGTCTGGAAGCGGTGAGGTAGCCACAGGGCAGGAGCACCCCCTTGACCTCTGTCTTTCTTGTAGGATGGCCGTCATTCCCGTCGTCATCAGCCTGACCCTGACCACGCTGCTGGGCAATGCCATCGCGTTTGCCACCGGGGTGCTGTATGGACTCTCCGCTCTGGGCAAAAAGTGCGTGCGCCTCTCCCGGCCCCTGGGAGGAATCTTGACATCCTGCCTCCGGAAGTCTCTCAGGGAGGATGGTCCGAGTGGGGCCCCTGTTATCCCTTTGCGGAAACTGAGGCACAGAGGTTGTCAGCGACACTTGTCAGCGTCCCCAGGGTGTTCAGCTCTAGGAAATGAGAGTGGGAGGGTTCACGGGTTTCCGGTGGCCTGGCTGTGCCTCGCCTCAGCCGACAGCGGGGATGGCAGGTCTGTGGCTTGGGAGAACCTGTGTCACTCTTAGAGGGGATGTGTCTGCCCTCCTAGCAGCAGGGTCTCTGGGGAAAGCAGAGCCCAGTAGCGTGTCCCTGCAGGTTGTGCCTTGGTCACAGGCTAGGGATCTGGTGGTGGCAGGGAGGGCTGTGTGCCTGGTGTCATTCCCCTCTGTGATGCTGACTCGTTCTCTCCCCAGGGGCGATGCGATCTCCTATGCCAGGATCCAGCAGCAGAAACAGCAGGTGGACGAGGAGAAGCTCACGGACACCCTGGAGGGGGAGCTGTAATGTGAGCTCCCCGCTCGCCCCTCTGGTTCAGTGCAGACATGTCCTGCAGGGATGAGGCCTGGAGCATTGACCCTGAAGGACAGCCTGGAAGAGGAGCCTTTGGCTCCCACCAGCCCCCCTACACCTGTCCCTACACCTGGAGTCCTCTTCTGTCTTCTCCTCCCTCTAGCTTGGTGTCTCCCGGCCCTGGGCCTCGGCCCGCAGCAGGAAGACTGGCGGTGACAGCGGGCAGCCTCGATGGTGACCCAGGCCGCAGGGCTGGAGGCAGGGCGGGGCCTGCCTGGTCCCACTCCTCGCAGCTGGCCCGGCTCAGCTGGAAACAGGCTGCCGTGTGCATTTCCGGACTCCCACCGCCAGCGGAGTCCCCGGGACCTGCTGAAGGCTTGGGCGGGGCTTCCCCCACAGATGCTGGGGCTGTGCCGCGTGGGGAGGCATGTCACCCTGGGCCCGGCCACTGGGCAGAGTGAGCCTCCACTTGGCTCTCCAGGCACGAAAGTATCTTGTAGGCTGAGCCACCTGGGCCCCCTTTGTCTACCTGTCATCGGGACAGCGGTGCCCTGTGGCCCGTGGTCTCCTCCTACCACTGCCCAGGCTCCTCCCCGCCTCTCTGTTCTCAGTGGGAGCCCACAGCACTCCCGAGATGCTTCCTGAGTATCCAGAGCAGCCACGTTGGCAGCGGCGGGACAGCTAGGGATGCTCCTCCCCCAGTTCCCTGGAAGCTTGCACAAGCCGTTCCAGCATACTTCTGGGTCCTGGCCCGGGCGCCCAGGTTCTCCCTCCAACCGGCAAGGCCCTGGTGCTGAGGAGTCGGGGAGGGCAGGCTCTTCTTTGTCCCGTGGGCCTGTTTGTCCATCTTTCTGGTGTGGTCCTGCCACGTTAGCCGTGGCCTAACCGAGTCAGCAGGGCTAAGCTCAACCCACCAGCATTGCTGCTGGCCGACGCCCCGACACTGCCTGCGGGAGTTTCTTGACTTTGAGAGTGGGACAGAGGCTGGAGTTGCCTCCACCACCGTGAGCTGTACCCGGGCCACCTGGGAGCAAGGCCTGTGCGGATGGTGCGAGGAGGCGGCCCTGCCCGGGCTGTGCGCCATCCCCCCTGGCCTCCCTCCATGCCAGCATTCCTGTGTCCCCTGCGTGTGTCTGCCTCAGCCCATGGACGGCTCCGCTCCAGGGACCAGCCCCCAGCTGCTAGGCCTGTCCGATGGGGCCTGGCCAAGCCCGCGCGGCACTCGGCACAGATGGGTTGGTGTGGAAAAGGTCCGGCTCTGCTCTTCCTTCTCCCAGGACCCTGGCTGTGCCAGCTCCCAGCCCTGAGCTCAGCCCCAGCCCTGCTTTGTTGAAAGCAGCCCTAGGGCTGTGTCCAAACCCTCCTTCCCAGAGACAGCTCCCCTCTGGCGGGGGGTGCCTGTCAGTGTTGGACAGCGGGAGGGACAGGTCACAGGGCTTCGGCTCAGCAGCGGCCCCCAGCGGCCTTCCAGAGAGCCCGCCAGGCTGAGCCCCAGGGCACGGCGGCTGGCCAGCCTGGTGGGACACGTGCCTTCAGGGGTCCCCTGGGACCACCTTTCTCAAGCAAGCGCTGGGTTCAAAGGGCTATGGGTTCTATACTCTCCAGGCGGGCGGGGGTGTGCGTGTGCGTGTGTTCTGCGTGTGCTACAAGACCTGTCTACCTCCCAAGAGGAGCAAGGGCCCCGCCTGCCCCTCTTGGCTCATTCTTACCGAGGCAGTGGGATGGGGGGGTCACTTCTGCCCAGCCCTCCTGACCCCGCTGCAGGGGCCTTGCTGGCAGGGGCTTCCTTCTGCAGGGGGAGAGGCTGGCTGTATCCAGGAAGGCTGCACCTCTACCCCACCTCCGCCCCTTCGGGTCGGGTGGGCTCTAGAGGCAGGCGCAGACCCTCCAGCCCGAGTCGTCGGCCAGGATGGACCCATCATGTGCCCGGGGTTCCCAGCCAGCCCGGCAAAGCAGTCCCGGAGCAGTGACCCGTCCCTCAGTGTGGGGTGCCACCTCGCAAGGAACATCCGTCCGGTGGCAGAAGGGGCCAGTCCGCCTGGCTCGGCCCCCGCCTCCACGGGTCTGGACTCCGTCATCTCGGGGTCCTTGTTTTCTCGCAGTGTTTAGCTTGCGTTTTGAGCAATAAAGCTTGGTGTAGTCCGTACCCTCGCTTGTGCGGTCTGCCTGTTCCTTCTCCCCCCAGGGCCGTAAGCAAGCAGGCTGGGACCGCAGGCCCTGGGAGTAACTGCCGTTTTATTGACCTCCTGTGTGGCTGGCCCTGTCCCACTCTTGTTCACAAGCCGAGGAACATGGCTTGCCCAGGTCACACAGCGGGGAGGGCTGGAGCCTGTGGGTCAGAGCCGTCCTGCGGCCCACAGAGGGGCCTTGCTTGGGCCGGTAGTCCCTGGCAACTGTGGCTGAGGGTTTGGGACTAGCGGAACCTGGCTGCTGGGTGGGCTCCCCCATCTGCAGGAGACCCCGTCCTGTGACTCCCAAGGCCAAGAGTCTGACTGGCCGTGACGAAAACAGGGTGGACACAGTTTGCGGACGGGAGCCCTTAAGCCTCGTTTCCAGATATTGGGTAGGGGCAGGAGGAAGTGTCTGTGCTGGGTCTTGGGCCCTGGCCTGTGGGAGTCCAGAACGTTCCCTGTAGCACCCACAAGCTTTTAGAACTGCAGATCTCTCTTCCTCGCCAGCATCAAGTTGCTCCATGATGACTAAGCAGATCAGAAGAAAACGGTGATGTCCCTGTGTGGAGCCCTCCACTGTCTCCTGGCCCATGTCTCTGTCCTCATTACAGCCCTCCGTGGCCGCATCCTCTGCAGTAAGGAGCCCGGCCCCATGTCACCCAGCAGGGCCTTGTCCCCGGTCCTTGGGCTGTGGGCTGCCCTGTAGCCCGTGGCCGCCTCCCCTGCCAGCGGGTCTTGGCCGAGGGGCGGGCTGGCGGCCGGCTGCTGGAGCTGGGGCCCAGGCCGGACAGGGGAGCTGCGGCCCGGAGCCAGAACATGCACGGCGGGGGCCTGCTGCGCTTCCATCCGGTCCTCCTGTGCTGCGTCGGATGGCGGATGGCTGCTGTCTCCCCAGCTTGGCGTGCAGGCTCGTGGCCAGCGCAGACACCCACATCTCCACCGTGGCAGGGCCCCTGACCTAGTGCAGGAAGGACCTCCTCCCGGTGCGGAAGAAGGACTCAATCTGCTCCAGCGACCGGCCCTTGGTCTCAGGCACGCAGCAGCCGGTGAACACCAGGCTGGCCACGCAGACGGTGGCAAAGAAGAAGAAAGGCACGTGCAGGCCAAAGGCGTTCTGCGGGCACAGAGCGGACGCCTGGTCACATGGGGGTTCCCGGGGCCCTCCTAGTGTTAGCCAGCCTTGGGGGGCCTTCCCCTTATTCCCCTGCTCAGGGCCCTTTTGGGGCTCCTCTCTGCCTCCCGTTCAGACGCAAATGCTTTAGCGTGGCCCGCCCTGCCCGGAGCTCTGGCCTCAGCCTGGGCTCAGGCACCCACCTCCCTCCCACCTGCAGGAGGCCTGGCCCCCCAGCCTGGCGGGGAGCCAAGTGCCTGTGTTTCCGCAGCCACCACACACGTCCTCCTGCCCGGCCCCAAGCCCACCCGCACCTCTCCGCGGGCTCAGTGCACACTCCATGTGCTCCCCAGCCCTGCCCTGTCCCGCGGGCTACACCAGGGGAGGCCCCCGGCCCCAGCCGCCCCGGTCAGATTATCCCTTCCGGGCGCTGGGTGTGACATTCTGGTTGGCTTCAGGGCCTTCAGAGACGAGAAGGGAGTTGAGGGAAATTGGAGGGGGGAGGTGAACCATGCTCTGAAAAACAACCTGAGGTTTTGAAGGGGCGGGGGGTGGGAGGTTGGGGGAACCAAGTGGTGGGTATTAGAGAGGGCACGGATTGCATGGAGCACTGGGTGTGGTGCAAAAACAATGAATACTGTTATGCTGAAAGGAAATAAAAACAAAAACAAAAAACCCAGCAGTGCGGAGAATGTGGGTCGGCCAGCTGGGACCCTGCCAGGAGACCCAAACTGCCCCCCAGACATAAGGCCCTCTGGGCTCCCTCGTCCTGGTCTGGGAGGACCTGCGGGACACTCAGAGGACTTGGCCAGGAAGCCCGACCCCGGTACTCACCACCACCAGCAGGAAGGACTTGGTGAGAGCGAAGGCGGTGAGCCAGCTGACGAGGACGCAGAGCCCCGAGGCCACGCCTCGGGCCTGCAGCGGCAGGATCTCCGACATGAGGAGCCAGGTGATGGGCCCCCAGCCCATGGCGTATCCTGCCCACAGAGGACCAAGGGCCTCTGCTGCCTCCGCGGAGCTGCCGAGACCCGGCCCCGCCCCAGGCCCCGCCCATGCCCCAGCAGGCCCCTCCCACCGGAGCACCAGCCCCCCTCCCTGCCCTGGCCCCGGCCCCGCGGAGTCGCTGAGTACCTACCGGTGATGAACAGCATGGTGGCCACCAGGGGCACGAGGGTGAGGTAGCTGGACGGGGTGGCCAGTGGCTGCTCTGGGCCCCCCAAGGGCACGCTCTCGAGGCCCACGGTGCCGTTGGGAGTCAGAGGCTTTGGACGGAAGTGGACGTACAGCCCGAGCGTCAGGTTGGCCGCAAACATGATGGTGGCTGTGGACGGACAGGTGGCCCTCGGGGGGGGCCAGGACCCTCTGAGCCGGGTGCTTCCTCCGCACAGTCCCTCAGCACTGTGCGCCCGGGGTGGGCCAGCTCTCGTCCAGGCCGCCAGCGTGGCCTTAACCGGATGCTTCCCGTAGAGCTGTGAGCTCCGCCTGTGCGTCCAAGCTCCCGTCATACCCACTGTTTGCTCCCCCAAGCCCTGCAGATCTTCCTGGGGTGGCTGGTGTGTGCCGGGCCCCGTGCTGGGCACTGGCGGGGGCAGGACCCACAAGGCAGGTGTGACAACCCCACACCCCCACCCCGGAGCTCCCAGCCACAGTGCCCTCGGCCTGGGCCAGCCAACGACCAGGAGCTGCGGGAGGAGGACGCGGGAGCTCACCCGAGACAAACAGCAGAACCTTGCGGCCAGCCAGGTCCATGGTAAAGGCGGCGATCAGCACGGAGAAGAGCCTCACGGCCCCCACAATGGCCGCATCGTCCTTTGGGGGCTGCAGGGAGGAGGCCACCGGCGCTGAGGGGCTCCAGCCTGCTGCTCCCATCCCACCCAATCCCCAACAAGGGGCCGCGCAGGGCACTCAGGTCCCAGGCCAAGGCCACAGCTCCTGTGGAGCACTGAGCTGCTGAGCACACACCACGTGCCAGGCACTTCCTCTGGTCACCCAGCCTGGGCTGCAGGGCTCCTTGGCCAGGACCCAGCTGCCATGCCCACCGCTGAGGCCGGGCCCGCATGGAATCCCAGCGCCACAATGACTGTGGGACTGCACTGTCGCTGATCTCTCAATTTCCTCTCCCTCGGAGCCCAGGACCGGCCGAGGCAGGCACACCCCATTATCTCCCTTCTACAGAGGCGGAAGCTGAGGTCTAGAGGGAAGGGACTTCCCTTGGCGAGTGGCAGATGCTCTGAAGCTGGGGTCCATGAGCCCCCCAGAGCTCAGCACTTCTAGACAACAGGTACCTTCGGAAGCCCGGGTATTTTAAGGCATGTAAGTTGACCTCCAAACATTATTCTGAGAATGGGGGTGTGGCACAAACCCGGCCAGGAGACCCTGGCGGGCTCGGCACAGTGCATGCACCCCTGACTCGTGGCAGTAGGGGACGGCCTCCTGGGTGCCGGGGCCGGGCTCTCACCAGCAGGACAGCAGTGCTTTCGAAGATGGGCTGCAGGTAGACCAGGATGGGAGTGATACCCATCAGCTGTTGCAGGAAGCGCATGAGCAAGGCGATGAGGACGGGTCGGTACATGTGGGGGCTCCGGGCCTCAGCCCATGACATGTGGGTGCTCTAGAAACAGGAAGCTGTCACTGGGCTGGGGGCGCTGGGCCAGCCCCTCCAGCAGGCACCACCCTGCCTTGGGCTGGGTGGGAGACTCCCTCCTCCCTTTCCCCAGGAAAGACTCTGTGCCCAGAGGTAGTCCAGGCCACGCACAGGCTGGGGGACCACCGCCCGAACCCCAGGCTCTTGGACGAGCGGGGGGACAAGGCAGACTTGTGCGCGCCAGGATCTCTGCATGCCCAGGCATCAGCAGCAGGGAGCACGGGCTCTGGGTCAGGAACCACAATCTCTCCCCTCCCCCCAGTGCTTGGAGGGGGCGCTGCGCTTATCCCTGTTCCCCGGGAAGAAGCAGCCGAGGCTCCGCGAGGCCTCGGGGCTGGCCGAGGCCCACCCTCCCACACCTGTCTGCGGACGTTGTCCTGGATCTGCTCGAACTCCCAGCGGATGTCCGTGTCGGTCCCACGGAGCCAGGCCAGCGCCCGCAGCGCCTCCGCGTCCCTGCCCCGTGAGAGCAGGAAGCGAGGGGAGTCGGGCATGAAGCTGAGCAGCAGGACCATGACAAGCACTGGCCCTTCCCCCGCCACGGCCAGCCAGCGCCACGGCAGCAGGAGGCCTGGGGGTGAGGACAGGGTGAGGAGATGCGGTCCAGGCCGGACAGACTCCCCTCCTGCCGAGGCCTCCGAGCAACCCCTTCTGTTCTCAAGGGCTAGCCCCGGGGCCGCCTCCCACAGGAAGCCTACCTTGGTTGCCCCCAGGCCTTTGTGATCTAGACCAGGAGGGGCCCCAGGAATTGCTTGGCCCCAAGCACAGGGCCTAGCACATAGAAGGCGGTCCTTGGAGGGTCTCAAGGGCCATGGCAGGGTGATGGAGGGGCAGCCTTAGCAAGCAAGGCCCCAGGTTTCTACCCTAAACCCCACCCCATCTCAAACAAATGAGCTCTGATCTCTTTTCTATATGGACCCCCCTCCCCTGTGCCCAGAGAGAGGCTGGGCATTGCCTGGAGGGACACAGCATGGGGGTGGCTAAGCCAGTATCCCATCCCCCAGCACGGGGCTTGGTTTGGGGTGTGTTCACTGCCCTTCCAACCCGGTCAACCCCTGCCTGCACACAGGAGGTGCTCAGTGCTCTTTTGGATGATACTTGCCAAGGGCGTAGAGGGACAGAGATCCGAACACTGCCATGAGCTGGGGTGTGGCCCCCAGAGCCCCACGAACACCTGGGGTAGCGATCTCAGACACGTACACCTGCAAGACACGTGGGCGCACCCCGCGCCTTTGGTGAGATCAGACTCCCAGGCTTGGCTAGGATGGGAGAGGTGGCCCCGGTGAACCTTGGGAAGTGACAAGTGGGGTTTTCTGGCGGGACTCTTGTCCTGACTGTGACTCAGGCCATTTCCCTAATGGTTCAGTGGGCAAAAGCTCACCTCTGAAACGGGTAGCTGGTGATGGGGATGTGGGAGGCCCACGGGCCCCCAGACTCAGCGCCTCCCGGGCGTCCCCGGCCCCCTGCCGGCCTGGCCCCTGACAGGGTGTGTGTGCAGCTGTGGGAGGTGTCCTAGGGAGGGAGAGACTTCCCCTTCCCCTGTTGCTCAACACAGATTTTCTTCAGTTGAGCAATGTGCCTGAGTATCGGGAAATGGGGTAGGAACTTGAAGGGGTCCAGCGTGAGGTCGGCTGGGGATGTGGGGACAGATTTGCTGTCCTGCTGCAGGGAAGCTGAGGTTTCTTGGCAAACAGATCCCCACTGCCCAGGGGGGTCGAGGGTGGGGGGTGGCTGGGAGACTGCAGACGCCGTGCTCGGCACAGTGCTGAGGCAGTGAGAGGACAGGGGTGGGCAGTCCTGGCCTTACCGGGATGCAGGCAGCTGTGAGACCCCCAGCAAATCCTGTCAGCGTCCTCCCCAGCAGCAGCATCCAGAAGCCGTGGGCACCTGCCATGAGCGCGTAGCCAGCTGCCGATGGCACAGCTGAGAACATGATGCTGAGCTTCCGGCCCAGGAGGTCGTTGAGGACCATGGCACTGAGGCCTCCAGCCGCTGCACCCAAGGTGAATACGGACTGTAGGAAAGGGGAGCAGGGCAGACATGTGTGGGCATCCAACACTCCAACCCCCCATCGGAGCCTAGGAGCAGCTGCTTTTCCAGGCTGATCATGAGGTAGTGAGCCTCCTGTCCCCAGAGGTGTGCAAACATCATGTGCACAACCATTTGTTAGCAATGCCACCATGGGGAGTCCTGTTCTGGGGAGTATGTGGGGCCACTTGTCCACAGTGGTTCAGCTCAGCCGAACGTTTAAATGTCTAATACTATTACGGCAGATGGAAGAATTCTGTGACCTGAAGCTCCCGGCATTTTCAGATTTGGGGGTTCTTGGATTCCTTGTACAGTGTAGTGAGTAGGATCCAGCCACTGACTTGGGCACGTTGCTCAGCCTACCCAAGCCTCAGTTTCTTTATGGGGACACCAGGAAGAGCCCCTTCATAGGGCTGGCCCTGGAGTCAACCCACTCTCATGGACGGTGCCCAGCGGCACACTCCTGGCACACACCGAGTGCTCAGCACACACTAGGTACCATTTTGCCTGCTCTGTTGGGATGGTAAATCGGAAGCTACGGAGATGGTCCTTCCAGCATCCCGGACTCTCAGGGCCCCTCCTCTTCCCTCCCACGTGCCCACACTCAGTCCTGGGGGCCTCCTTGCCCCAGCCAGTGCCTCTTCCCATTGGCATCTGATGCCCCTGCCTCCTATCATCCAGGGAGGTACCTGCTCTGCTGTGGCAGCCCGGCAGGGGTGTGGGTGTGGGGGGGTCTGGGGCAGGGGGAAGACCTGGTAGGCCACCTCTCCGCTGTCTCCTTCCCACCCTTCTTAGCGACTACTTCCTCCTCCTGTTTCAGAGCAATCTTCTGGCCTCACTCACCCACTGCCCCTCCCACAACCTGGCGAGGATGGGGGAGGGGGAAGGCCAGGGCCCTACAGGGGGACCCGAGCTTAGTGGGTCCCCACTCACCCCGCCCTGCCCGTCTCCAGCTCCGAGCATGGCTCTTACCCCAAACCAAGATGCCTGGGTTTTGGTCAGGATCAGGTCCGGGTCTGAGGAGTGCTCCAGGGCCGGGATGACAGGGGACGTGTAGACCAGGGCGTACCCGAAGCTGAAATTGCCCAGCACCGCGGCAAAGGTGGCCAGGAACACCCTCCTGTTCTGTGGGGCCCTGGTGGGTGGGGGCGGGCAGAGCGATGAGGTCTCGGAGTTCCTCCTCCCCCCGCGGCCGAAAGGCTACGGGGTCCTGGGCCCAGGGGCTGCTGGCCCAGCCCCGGACGGCCGCACAACCCCGGCTCGGCCGAGGGCTCCTGGAGCGTGAGTGTCCGCTCGCTGGGAGAACCCCAGGGCGGCCCCCACGGCCCCCCGCCCCGAGGCCGAGACGCCGGCGAAGGAGCGCCGCTCTCCCGCGAGGACCTCGCCCCCGCAGCCCCCGCAGCGCGCCGTGACCTTAGGCAAGTGCGCCCCTTGCCCTCTCGGGGCTTCCCTCCCCCTCTGCGCCGGTCGGGGCTGGGCCTGCGCCGGGCGGCGAGCGGCTCCGTACACAGGACTAGGGTGTCCGGGGCGGGGGGCAGACGGGCCCTCGCGGGACAGCGGCGCAAGGTCAGAGGCGGCCCCGGGCGGAAGCCGGCCCCCGCCCGCAGCCCCCTGCCCCGCGCCTCTCACCCGCCCCGCGTCCTCTCCCCCGGCGACGGGGACGACTTCTCGGGGAAGGTGTCATAGTCCGGGCCCTCGGCCCCCAGCAGCGGCTCCTGCATGGCCGCCCCCGCTCGCAGGGTCCGTGCGGCCGCCGCGGGCCCGGGCGCTGGAGGGCAGCTCGGCCCGGGAGACGCTCGGGGCAGCCGCGGCTCCGAGCATCCGGCTGGGGCTGGAGCTCCGCCCCTCGGCCGCGATTGGCTGCGAGGCGGCCCTGCGGCGCCGGCGCCGACCAATGGGGCCGCCGCGAGCCGTGCGGATGCTCGGATGCGGGCGCGGCGCAGCGGCGGGGGCGGGCGGCGTGCGGGGCTCGGCGGGGCTTTCCCGGGGCGCGGGCCCGGGGGCGGGGCTCTGGCTAGGGTGCGGGGCTCGGCCCGGCTTTCCAGGGGCAAGGGCTGGGGCAGAGGGTGCGGGGCTTTCCTGGGGTGTGGGCCCGGGGCTGGGTGCGGGGCTCGGCGGGGCTTTCCTGGGGCGCGGGCCCGGGGGCGGAGCGCGGACAGCCTTGCCAGGGGCACGGGCTGCTGGGAGGGGGACGGACAGGGTGCCCGCTCCGCGGGGCTTTATTGAGGCGCCGACCACGGGGCGGGGCCAGATTTTAAACGGGCGTGCCCTGCCCCTCGTGGGCCACTGGGGACCCCTGGGCTGGCCCTTCAGATGGGAACCCCCTGCAGGCTCACGTCTGGCCAGCCCATGTCTGGGTCCAGCGGGATACCAGCACTCGGCCTCGGATTGCGGCCCACCCCAGGCCCAGCCCCTGTAGACTGGAGGAAACAGGGCCAGAGAGGCCAAGCGACTCCCCAAGGTCACACGGAGAACACGTGTCTCCCTCCGAAAGAAGGCCATGAGCTCTGCCTTCTGGACTCCCTCCCTGCTACATCGGATGCCCCAGTCACCGCCGGCCCCGCCCCCTCCCCTCCAGGCGTGAAGCGAAATCAGGCTGAGGAGTGCGCGTGGCAGCGTCCGGCATTCCGCATCGCGGTCCTGGCCCTGCGGGGTGAGGGTTGCGGTGTGGCGGTGGTCCCAGTGACACAGATTTGTATTTCCCCCATTTCTGTTCCTCTTTGGTTGCAGAAATAAGCTGGGCTTGTTGAGACTCATCCCAGCAATAAGATAAAATTAAAAAAGAAAAGTGGAAACTGAACGTTTCCTGGAGGCACACCCTGGAACGGTAACGTGGCGTGCGAGTGCCCGCCCCATGGACCTTCCCAGAGACCGGCTGGCTCACACCCTGTTCTGCGCGGATGTGTCACATGTGGGTTTTCTTAACTGATCCTCTGTTGTTGAGCATTTGGGTTATTTCCAAATTTTAGCTATTGAAACAGTAAATCTTTTTTAAAAATATTTTTTAATTTTAAAAAAGATTGTATTTATTTGAGAGAGAAAGAGAGGGAGTGGGTGCGAGAGCAAGGGTGGGAGAGAAGCAGAGGGAGAATCCCAAGCAGACGCCACGCTGAGTACAGGACTCGGTCCCACAACCCTGAGATCAGACTGGAGCCCAAGTCAGGAGTGGGTCGCCCAACCGGAGTCACCCAGGTGCCCCCAGTAAATTGTTTTTAAAAGGTTCCTGTAATTCCCTTTTGCTACCAAAATACAACTAGTAGAACGATGGAGAAAGGCTTGGGAAAGCCACATCCATCCCCCGTCTGGTGCTCCAGGCGTCCTTGCTACGTGGGTGCACCAGCGTGAGATCACTTACAGCACATGTCAGCGTTTTCCTGCGGTAAAGGGCCTGGGCTTTGGATCCAGGCAGAGCCAATAAATGGAGCCTCCTCTTGCTGACTTGGAGCGAGACGTGTCAGCATGTTTTACGCTTTGCGATGTAACGGGGTTTGCTCCGCGATCGCCTTCGTGGGCATGAAGGCGATCTCACACGTTTGCTTTTAAAATCAGTGATCATCTTTGTCCTTAAAGGATGATTTCCCTCCGCAAGGATGTTTGTCTAGTCTTCAGGCCTCTTTTAACCACCGCCCCCTACACCCTGACCCCCACCCCCATGGGCTTTCTCTCCTGACACCTGGGTCTATCCCAGATGGGCTGCTTGGGGACCCAGGCTCTGGAGCAGCGTGGGGCTCTCCTCCTCTTCCCTGCCCATCTGGTACCTGGCCTGGCAGATGAACACAGCCGTGCCAGGAGGCCCCTGGTCGATCTGAATTCAGAGCCCTCCCCTCTCCATTAGCTTCTCTCCCCGTGAAGTCTGGGCTCAGAAGCAGAGGAAAGCACTGGTCTGGGCATCCTGCACCTGGATCTGCTTCCCATCTCTGGCCTGGACACACCCACAGCAGGGGCTGGGTCCCTCGTTTCCCCGCCCTCAAGCTCCAATCCCTCCCCAAGGGAGGCCCCAAGCAGAGTGGGTTCTTGACAGGAAGGGCCCCTAGGTGATCTGCTCAATCTGCCACTGGTCTGGGCCTACCCTGGGGAACACGGCAGCTCCGTGCACGGGAGACCACCCTGGTCAGAAGGTAAATTCCCGCAGAGCGGCCAGGGTTGGGCAGGTGCTGGGCGAAGACTACCCCAGGCCCCCCGGGCTCCTGCACCATCTCCATCCCGGGCTTGGTTAGCAGAGGACCTGGTGCCCAGTCTGGCCCGTACAGAGGAGGAACCTGGGGACCGGGGCCACCTCTGCCAACCTCTGGGACTTCTTGAGAACCCTTCCTTCTCTGAGCCGCAGGATGGGTGGAACCTGGTGCCCCCTCCCGGGCTGCTGTCTGGGCACGGGGCAGCACATGGTCCTTGATGGAGCTCTTCCTACAGCTTGACAGAGGTCCCTCCAGACCAGTCTGCCAGCTTTCACGTGCCCAAGAAACTGGCTGAACTGCATTCCGGACCCCCTGGTACAAGGACAAAGGTCTCAGAGGGGCTGTGGCCCTGGATCTGACTCTCCAGCCGCAGTCACCTCAAGAGGGGAGGTAAGCGGGTGGGAGGAAAGGCCAAGACCCAGCCCCCACTGTCTCATCCGGTCCCTATCCTCCCTGGTTCCCTTCTGCATCCCAGTGTTACAGAGGAGAAAATGGAGTCTTGGGGAGTCACTGGCCAAGGTCACCTCTGGGGCACCTCCTGACCCTGGGTCCTACTATGCCTGGAGAGACTCCCTCATGTCCTCCTTCCTACAGATGGGCCAGCCAGAGCCCCCAGGGGAGAAGGTCTCTGACGCCCAGCTGTCTGGCGTCCCTGCTGCCCTCCACCATGCGCTTGGTGATGCCATCCCTGGTCCCGAGGACTCGGACCTGGTGCTCTCTGTGACCCTGGCTGCGGCCCTGGTCCTGCTGTTCCTCCTGCTCTTGGCCTGGCTGGTGTGGGACGGGCTCCTCCGAGCCTCCTGCTAACATGGCTTCTCAGGCAGAGGATGGGGTGTCCCTTGGCTGGGTGGGCATGAGTCAGGAGTGGCCTAATGGGAGCAGACCCAGGGACAGGGGTTGGCGGGTGGACAGCTGGAAGGCAAGAGGATGGGGAGGCAGCTGGGCCTCCCAGCCACACCCTGGGCCAAACCCTGTGGCCTTTGTCTATGGCAGCCCCCAGGGGACCCCAGGACATTCTCAGGGCCTTCCCGCTGGAGGGCAGGAACCCTGATGAGCCCTGGACTCTGCTGTCCAGCGCTGCCGAGCCTCACGCCTCCCGATGGCCGTGGAGAGTGGGCTCGGAGCCTCGGGCAGCTGCAAATGCTCAGGCGAGCGGAGCTCAAATCCCCCTCAGGCAGGTTTGCCGCGCTGTGGGGGTCCTCATGGTTGCGCGACCACCCTGGGTGCTGCGAAGAAAGCCAGGTGACCCCTGGGCATCTGTGGGATGAATCCGAGTGAGTCGGGAAATGAGAGTTCCAGCCCAGGCTCTGTCCCCGAGGGGCTGGGACAGTAGACCATGCCCTTCTCTGTTCTGGGCCTCAGCTTCCTCAGGCATCGTACCTATTTCTGTGCATTGTTGTGAGGCTGACCACGGCGTGGGCAGTCTGTGGTCACCTCTGCAGCAGACACTGTCCCTTTCGCCTGCGCCCCTTCCTCCACTGGGGACCTTGGGGGAAGCCCCCCTCCGGGAGCGAGGCCCGCTGGAGCGGGGATGCACTGGTCTTGACCGCCACCTGGTGGCTGAAGTAAGAACAGCATCATCTGCCCTGGGATCCCCTTGGGCCCTTCCGAGCGAGGAGGAAAAGGTGTTTTGTTTTTTAAAGTGGAAACATTTGAGATTGTGGATAAGCCCAAGTCTTATTACTTAAAAATTCTTTTACCATGTGCTGTTTCTCTCTGTTCCCTTCATTTCTGCATGACAATTTTACCAAAAAAAGAGGCATCAGGAAGGGGGTGGAGTGGGGCGGTGGGGTGGAGGGGGGTTGGTGACAGTGAAGCCCAGGGTCAAGCCCAGGGTCGTGGGCATCCTCCTGCCCCACAGGGGCTCTGTCTGGGGCCTGACAAAGGAAGACACGCATTTCTGAGGATGGGACGTTCGGGTCAGGACCAGGGGTCCTCAAAGAACAAAGCTTAACCGAGACACCATGTGCCAGATACGGGGGTGGGTGAGTGGGGCCCCCAGAGCGTGCAGGGTGGTTCTGTGCTCTCCTCCTCTTCCTGCCGCCAGGCTGTCCCTCCCTCGGGGAAGGGAAGGCCTCTGGGGTGCGCCCCAGCCACGCCCCATACAGGAGGAAGGAAGGATGGAAGGAAGGAAAGGGGGTCTCTTTCTCCTGCTCCCCCAGCATCCTGAAGTCAAAGTGCTCACGTGTGTGTCCAGGCTGCGGTGCTGGGGAGCTGCAGACTCTGTCTGTCCCCCACCCCTCCTCCCCACCCCTCCTCCCCATCTCCCTCCTCCCCACCCTTCCTCCCACCCTCTCAGAGGCTGCAGAACCAGAGTGAAATCCTTGGCTCCTTCCCTCCAAGTGTGAGATCACGGCCACAGATGTCAGGCAGTCCCCTCCCCACTCCACCCCCCCACCCCCAGAGGTGGCTTCCAGTCCCTGGGTGCCCGGAAGGTTTAGTGATTGGGGAAGCATCTTCTGGGGAGCAGGGCTGAGAGAGAAGGCCCTCGGGGCCTTGCCCACTGGCCCAGGGCGGAGGAGCACCTGAGGCGGCCAGGCTCTGTTTGCATCTGCGACTAGTGCTCCTGTCCCTGCTGCATGGGTCCCAGGGCCCGGCCCGAGGCCTGCACAGGCCCCCACGCGCCGC